AGGAAGATTTGGGGTGACTCAATGTTTCAAGCAATGAGAACCCCATGTCTAAATTTGGCTGAGGAATGCTGCCAAGGGGACAGAGGAGTCCAGCACACACTGACTCACAGCTACTAAAGATAGCCCCAAGCAAGCCACTGGGGGCCCAGCAGCCAGCAGAGAGGAAATGATGTCACAGTGGACTTCCTGTATTAGAGAGGAAAAGTCTCTGTCTTATAACATCTCTGGGGGCCATGTCTCCCTTCTACACCAGCAATAAAGTCACTGATTAAATACAGATGGTATTTATGCATACGCTCTTTTAAATTATGGCTTCAACCTGTGAGAGCAAGTGCTATGCCAAATAAGCTGTGAGCATTTTATATGGAGTCTTTTCACAGTCAGTTCCATCTGGAAGCACTTTTTGCTTGAATTTACTTTCAAAGTGTGTAAAGCAAGAAGACCAGTAGCATAAAAAGAAGGGGACAGGTCATTTCAAAAGCATTGCATCTAACTGAATGTCCCTTAAAAAAAGACACAGTCATAACTGAATATCTTCATCCCTCATCAGGAAGCTGCTTCTGTTTGGAACCCTGGAATAAGCTCCTGTTTACCAAGAGCCAGTTAAAGTATAAAGCCACCTTCCCAGATGTTAATTACTGAAGGGTTTCTCATACTTGTCTTCCTTCAGTAATCCATATATCAGGAATATATACTGATGGAAAAAAGACACACACCAGAGTCCACACTCTGGACCTCCCATATGCGTGGAACAGGCTGAAGAGTCACTCATCCCTGAAGAGGACCTGATGCCACTGCTGACGAGTCCATCGCAGCCTCTGTCTGGCCCAAGCCAGTGGGTGTGACGTCTAGGAGGTGTGAGCAGAGGGCCTCTGACAGGTCGCCCTGCTCTGAGGCCAGCAGCATGGAGCCTCGCTGTCCTGTCACTGGTGCGGGCATTGTGTCTGCCGGCAATTTCAGCAGCAATACGGGTGGCAGATCTGAAACGACCTCTCAGATGGACCAGTCCTGCTCTGGTGTGGTCACTCAAGGGAGACCAGATCTTGGACAGTCATCTGTCCTGCAGGTCTGCTGAAACCTGCTCTGCAGTCGGGACAGCGGCTTACTCCATAGTGTCTGGCAACGCTGGCACATGACATGCCTGCCTGCAGCAGGCCAATGGCCCTCTCCCTTGCTTCTGGTGACATTCGAGCCAAAACGGAATGCACAGCAAAAAAAACTGTGGCCTTTTCTTGCAGTGACCTAAGCTTTGAATTAAGGCCTTTTTAAAGTTGACCTGATCAGGTATTATTCCACCTGGACCTCATTGGGTAAAAGTGCACCTAATGAGCTGTTGTGCGATTGGCAAGTTGCAATGCCACACTGCACAAGCTGTATTGCTGGTCAGAGGGCTTAAAAAAAATTGACACCTTTTTGTGAAAGTACATAAACTATAGCTATAGTATTCCCATTCCAGAAAGTGTTGTGTTTTTTTTCCATTAGCATATTCGCACTGAGATAAAGTGTTGAAATTCCACATTTGGCTCTGTGAGCAGGTGGACAGTACAAGAGGGGTCAGTCTGGGGTGAGGACACAACGCTTTGGAGACAAGGGGATGTTAAGCACTTCTGGGATAAGGGAATTACTCAGCACTGAGGTCAACAGAGAACAGAGGCCGGGGTTATGTGACCATGTGAGTTTGCAGGTGAAAATGTGTGTGTTCGTGTTACTACATTGTAAATGTGTTGCTGCTTGAGTTTTTACACGATAATCTGTAACACAACACAGATTGGAAACTGGGGTAAAACAGAACAAACTGTAACACACCACGGTGAACTGTGATATACTGAGGATATTCTGCTACAACTGCTAGTACGAAAGTAAACGAAACGAAACTTGCAGATCAGCTGTAAAATTATCTAACACTCTGTACGTGAACTCATTGACCTCACAGTCTGGCGTGTAGCAGAGACAGCTGCAGCAAACCTGGACTATACTGCCACCGTGTGGCAGGACCTCATACCACAGTCTTGGACAGACGCGATTGATTAGAATAGATGCTACAATCCTGCTCACGGCCGGAAGATACACGCCAGTCAGCCTCACTCCCTAGTGAGGGGGCGGAGAAGCGGTTAGGACTGTCGTCTTTCAGTCAGAGTGTGTGAGTTTAAAGGAGTGAGTTCAAAGGTGTGAGTTTTTTTTTTTGGGGGGGGCGGAGCGGTGGATCTGCGCCTGTGACTGGAAGGTTACCGGTTCAAATCCCGCGGCCGGCAGAGGAATCCTACTCCGCTGGGCCCCTGAGCAAGGCCCTTAACCCCAACTTCTCCAGGGGCGCCGTACAATGGCTGACCCTGTGCTCTGACCCAAAGCTTCTCTCCCTGTCTGTGTGTCTCATGGAGAGCAAGCTGGGGTATGCGAAAAGACGAATTCCTAATGCAAGAAATTGTATAGGGCTAATAAAGAAACATTATTATTATTAAAGACTAATTTAAATTAGAAGCTGACCAAATACTTTGTCGGACGTCCGACATCCTTACGACGTGCAGGGTTTCGGTGTTTGTTCAATGGCTTGCTTTGCCTCTTCTACCGTATTCATATTGCACAAATTCTCGTCTTTCCACTCCCGAAGAGACACAGGTACGGTGTCCTGACAATTCCAGGTGCCGGATTGCTTCTGGTATAGATAAGTGACCATGATCATATCATCTATCGCATTAGCTTGAAAATCAAGACAACTTTACAACGAAAAATAAACGCGGAACCACAAGCTTAATAATATACCGATCACAAACAGGGTAAACCATACTGAACTCGTAAACAAGAAGTTATTCACAGCGTATAGACTCTGATAGATTCTGAACTAGAGCTCCGTATTGTATTGAGTTTGATTCCAGGTCATGGTTTGCTCTTGATTCACACACAACGGTTTTCTAGAGGATTAAAAGTCATTACGGCAGTTAGTGTTTCACCTGGTTCGTAAACAGTTATTGGCCTCCAGACCATTCTCCTCCTGGACAGCGAAACGCGAACGTGACAACTAAGGGGGCAGTGTATCTAATGCCGAGACAATGATGAAGAACCTTTTACACGACGGTGCTTATAGGCGCAATATTTAAAACGAAAAGAAAAGGAGACGCCTTTTTACAGCTGTTTCCTTAATGCGAAACACGCTCATGGATTTGCAAAATATCCCACACTGCGTTAAGTAACATCCGTCTGCTGACAAGCGCAGACATTCTGGAACATTCTGGAGTTTCTGAGGCTCCGCTCGGGGAATGCGTTTCTGTTCTGCAGTCACGGACTCGGTTGTGGCGCGATTGCGCAAACTGGGTAATTCCACAATCCCCTCTGTAACAGGAGAACTCACAACCCACTCGCCGCCTCTGTACTAGGGGGCCGGCAAAAACACGACATGAAGCCGGCTGTATAATACAGTCTTATTATTTGTATAGACAGGGGGCTTTACACCTCGGGGCCAGTCTTTCTATCCATGCTGCCGCACCGACCGGGACCCTGGCGCACAAACCCGTTGGTTAACACGGGGAATTGCGGACCCGGGGCGGAGGCCGAGACCGATGTGAACTGTCCAGTAAACAGCGTGGTCCGTTAACTGCTCGGCTTTCCGCGCCCCCTTAATAATGGCATTTCAAATCTCACCTACCTGCTGACCCTATTGTCAGGGACGCTTCTCTTAACATGCCACCCTAGCGCCCTCAGAAAGCAGCGACCGGGTTTTCACGTTAATGATGATCTCAGCGTTATATTGAACCTTTATCCGGCAAGACGGACTCCCCAGAAAACTAAACCTTCCAGTCATCGACAGTGTACTGCCACAGGCCTTTAACCGGTTCTGTCCCAAGCCAGAATAAACCACCCTTGCTGGGTGTTGAACTTTTATATAGAGGAATCAGACTGCAAGCCGGGAGGGTCGATTGCTCTCATAACCTCGTGCGAATATGGAAACGCACTCTTTGAAGAAACCGCCCCCTGGTGGCTGAAACCGGTATCGACAGTCCAGATGCAGAGTATTAGAAAGCTTACACCCGAGAGCGGGCCACTTGGCCGATCTAATTAGTAGTTAATTGATGCGAGATTTTCCTCCGTTTCTGACAGAAGCCAGGGTATCGACTTCAGCTCCATGGGTGGGTGACTTGCTCCGTTTCCCACAACCCTTTTAAGAGCTCTAATGCGGATACTCCCGCTAGCTGGATCTATTCACCATAATCCAGGTGGGGCTGCACATTGGTGGTGGTGGAGGGGATCCCCATTACCTGTAAAGCACTTTGAGTGGAGTGTCCAGAAAAGTGCTATATAAGTGTAAGCAATTATTATTATTATTATTATTCCGAGAAGACACAATAGCACTTACAGAAATCAGCCCAGCATTAGTGTGAGCAGAGCAGATGTACTGGTGGCGGGAATATTGACATCTTGAGCACTTGCTCCCACGGGATGTACAGTGTCACCCCTTTAGGACTCTCAGTTGTAATACGTTTCGTCAAGAGCTTTGAGATGTACTGCAATGATACTGTAGGTTCCAGCTTTGAAGCAAATCTTAGAGACACACTGTACTGCTATATATCGCCCAAACTGGGGATTTTAATGATTTGTGGAACAGTAAAGCTGTGAGTTGAATAAAAACAGCTCGACATTTCTCAAGAGTTTGACTAAAGCGAAACTTAGCGCACTCATAGCTACAGCTCGGAGCTGTAAGGAGCGAGCGGAGCTCGGGTGTGTCTCTCCCTCCGGCTTATTCCCGGTACAGACCAGCCTCCCTGCCAGAAATGAGCAATTCCAGTTTCCCCTCAAGGAAGTACATCCAGCGCGAGGCGGTGAAATCCTTGAGCTGTTCTCCTAGAGGATCTTGAGCGGATTTTTTTTATATTGGTTCAAGGAATTTCCCGATGCCCCCGCCCCCAATAAGTGCCCCAGCTCGCGGACTTTGTCCTGTTAATAACAACCCACCAATAATATTGCGCTAAGTAGAAACGACCAGAGCAAACAACGAATTCGCCTGTATCACACGGCTTTCGTATTCAGTCGTGTCGTTATTGTACCAAAAACCTCGTTTCCGGATTACTGTATTTGTGCAAGCACGAGATGAATCCGGAGCACGGTCTCGGACAGGGCTAATCGCGAAATCACGGCAAGTTTTATTTCTAAAACAAAAAAAAATAACATTCGTCAAACGTCATCTGATCGGGAAGCCTTCAAGTGTGGCACGCGGGCGCCCGCTGCAGTCCTGTCCATTGAGACGGCTCGCAGCCAATCAGCCGCGGGGTCCGGGGAGGCGCCAGGGAGCGAGGGGCCAAAGCGCGCAGAGCAGGGGACTCAGCAGAGACTGCGACTCTCCGGGCTCCGACACCGCGGACGGACAGAAACGCACCTCGTGAGACAGAGCGAGCGCGCCGATTGTCGCCCGAGCCTGCTGCACCTGTTCACCTGACTGACCGCGACAAGACACACCTGGCCCGTCCACAAGGCTACAGGTAATACCTGTCACCGCTGTTATCCACGGTGTTACTCGTCCTATTACCGCAATAATCACAGACTCCACACTGTAAACGCGTCTGACCTGTCCTTTTTCTGCTTCATCGTTTGACTAGCCAACTTAGCAGCCACTGGGCTAACCTTTTTTCGTATACAGGTATTTTCTAAACAGGTATCATACGATTTTAGTGGTAAAATTAACGTTCGCTAGAAAAGCTGTTCCTAATTAATATTTCGTCGTCAAATAACTATATTAAGTTTTAACGGTAAATTACACGAGTTTTCATTTATATTATTACTTGTGAAATCACCTTTTTCGTAGCTCTCTTGTGTTCCCGAGATGAGGGAACTGCGTATCTCTCTGTCGGCTTCCATATGAAATTATTATTAATAATAATAATAATAATAATAATAATAATAATAATCCTTTCAATTAACCTGGGTTTAAGAGATCTTTAACCACTGATCGAGAACACCACCAAAGTTGTTCGGATTGTTCGTTTGATTAGATTTCTTTTTTACCGTATAAGCCCTGGATAAATATTTGTCCGAGCCGGCAGATACGGAGGTCTGTCTTGGCAGGGATGACGGGAGGAGGCCGGACGGAGCGCTACCGTTCCAACACATTGATTTGTTTGAATAATTCGATTTCTATACCAATGAGCTGGAAGCACGGCCAGATTAAACACACCTTTGTTTTCCCCCACTGTGAGAAAGATGAACAATTGGAAACACTAAAGAGAAATGATCCCATCGCTCTAAGATCACACGTGTTATACCGATAGATCAATCAATCCCGCATTTGTGAAAGACGCCTGGGTTCATAAAAGTGAGATTTATTTTTTTGCAGCCCATCAAGCAGTCACATGAGATGCACTTTCTTCTGCTTTCACTTCCAGTATGAGAGTCTCCTTTAACAGAGTTTAGCCTAAGTCAGCATCTAAGTCAGCATACACCCAGGCAGGCAGCGGTTTAAGGGATAAACACCATTGGAGATTTCAGGGCAGAAGGAAGTTCACGGGGCATTGCAGCCTCAAGAGTTGTCCCTTTTTTGACTCAGACTTGTTACGACAGTTGTTCCGACAATTGATGTTAATCAGAAATTGCTTCACAGCTGTTTTGTAAATGAGGTACTGCCCCAGTAGGTGCAACGTGTCTCATGTGACCCGGCTCTAATCGGCACAGCGGTGACCCCTGGGGTCGATTCTGGACCTGGGGCGCTGTCTGTGGGGAGTCTGTATGTTCTCCCTGTGTTTGCGTGGGGTTCCTCCAGGTGCTCCGGGTTCCTCTCACAGTCTAGAGACATGCTGGTAGGTTCATTGGCTCCTGGGAAAACTGGCCCTGGTGCGAGTGTGAGAGGATGGGTGTCTGTGTGTGCCCTGTGATGAACTGGCGTCCTGTCAGAGGTGTGCCCTGCCTTGTGCCTGTTGCCTGCCAGGATAGGCTCTGGCTCCCTGGCGACCTGAATCGGAAGACGTGGCTAGGAATCGGATGCGTGGATGGACTAATGGGCTCCATACTCCAATGGTTTGACTTGGAATAACCACACCCTGCCTCTGGGCTGTGTGTTGTATCAGAAAGAATCCCAAACCGCCTCCCAGTCTGCGGACAGCTCACTTCAGCCCCCGACTGAGATGTCCCCCCGTGTCAGACGTTGTCCGTGTTCCTAGGGCTTCAGAAGGAAAACCCCGGCGCCATGGGCAGCACCCCCAAGAGCAGCCTTCTGAGAGACGTCATGTCGGCCTCGGGCGCCGGCGTCCGCTCGGAGGCCCTCCCCACGGCCTCACCCGCCTTCGCGGCGCAGGAGAACGGCACGGGGGAGTGCGGAGCCGTGACGGCCGACTTCCAGTACGTGCTTCTCCCGGTGGCGTACAGCCTGGTCTTCGTGCTGGGCATGGCGGGCAACGCCATGGCCCTGCTGCACTTCATCCGCACCCGGAGCACCATGCAGCCCTCCAACATCTTCCTGGTCAACCTGTGCGCCATTGACCTGCTTTTTGTGCTCACCCTGCCGTTCAACATCGCCTACCACGCCCGCGGCAACGACTGGCCGTTCGGGGAGGCCCTGTGCAAAGTCAACGGCTCGCTGTTTTTCGGGAACCTGTACGGCTCGTCCCTCTTCCTGATGCTCATTTCCGTGGACCGCTACATCGCCGTGGTCCACCCGCTGCAGTCCCTCAAGCTCCGCAACCCCAAGCACCGGATCCTGCTGTCCTGTGCGGTAAGACTTGCCCCGACCTGGCGGCAGCCCCTTATCTCAGTGCATCTCTATCACCCTTGACCCTCACTTTGACCTCTGACCCCTGACCCCTGACCTCTGACTCAGGCCAGTGGCGGGGCTATGGGCTGTAATCCGGTGTGGGATTAGCGAGAACCGAAAAAAAACAAAACAAAAGTTAAGCCTGTCTTGGTATAGACAGAGGACGGGACAGGCTAAAAGGAAAAGAAAATAAAAAGAAGAATAATGGCCTCACACTGGGATACAACCCCCTCTGGGACTGCCAGTGTACGATCCTCCCCTTCCAGGGGTGTGCCCAGCTCGTCCTCTTCATGTAGTAGAGGGAGGAGGAAGCCACAGGGCTTCCAGAGCTACACAGAACTGACCAATCCTTTCTCTTGACATCTAACCTAAAACCCAGCTGAGTGCCAGTCAAAATGGCACCTAGTGATATGTTAGAAAGAGGTCACAGCTTAGCCAAAATTATTTGAAACCTCCACTTTATCTGAAACCCCAGATGTGGCCAGTTACTCATTTAGCTGTGCTGGACACTCAGTTTATAATCCAAGTCTACATTTTCAGCAGTAGGCTCCACACTGTCCTACACCGACCTTTGTAACTGCAGATATAAACTATAAACCAATATGAACTCTTTACTCAGTTAAATATGTATGGACTGGTGGCACATTCATAAATCTATTACAATGTGCATGTAAATGCACACAAATAAAGCCATAAGGTACAAACAAGTGCAGTGAATCGACAGTGTGTGGAAGCAGTGACAGAAACACAAAGTTCCTTATCGAGTAGACTCTTCCCAAGCGCCTGACTCGAAGTAATGGGGCAGCTTTGCCGCTAAGCTCCAAAAACATTAGATCTCACTCTCAGTCTTCCAAACCCCAGGCTTTTCCAAAACTCATTCTCTCCGAGACCTTTTAAAAAACCTTTCCAAGTTTTCAGAACTCTACACTCTCATGATCCTTGAAAATTGCTTCCTACTCCTTCCCTTGTGAATGATGCTCACAGAGGTTCTGCTCCATCTGCCCAGATGCCAGCTCAAATCTCTCTGGTGGGATCATCTGCTTTCTGGAGTTTCAATTGCCTCCTGACCAACCATCTCTCCTCAGCCGGTCAGGTGAAGGTAGCAGCTTATTCCCCACAGGAGTTTTAACAAACCTGTACCTGGTCCAATATAATTTTAGACTTGATTCCTGCTGTGTGGAGGGAGGTCCATTCAAGATCCATTGAGGAGTTATTTGGACATCTTGTGGAATTGGGTGGCATTGGGGCGGAGCGGGGGCACTGTGGTTAAGAATCTGCGCCTATGGCTGGAAGGTCGCTGGTTCAAATTCTGTGGCCTGCAGAGGAATCCTACTCCATTGGGCCCCTGAGTAAGGCCCTTAACCCAAGCTGCTCCAGGGGGGCCGTATAAATGGCTGACCCTGCGCTCTGACCCCAAGCTTCTCTCTCCCCATCTGTGCGCCTGTGTTTCTCATGGAGAGCAAGCTGGGGTATGTGAAAAGACAAATTCCTAATGCAAGAAATTGTATAGGGCCAATAAAGTGGTCTCTCTTATCTGATCTTTATCCCATTGCCACGAGAGTGACTGGTCTTCTCTCCCAACCCCGCTCCAGGTATGGGTGGTCCTGGCCGCAGTGATCCTGTACCTGACACTGAAGGGCCCCCTGACCAGACCCTTTCAATCCACGGGGAAGATTGCCTGCATGGAGAACTTCTCCTCGGAGGCGTGGCGGGGCCGCATCTCCACCGTCAGCATCCTGGCTGCCGTCATCGGCTTCTTCCTGCCCCTGCTGGTCATCGCCACCTGCTACCCCCTCATCGCCTGCAAGTTGCTGGCTCCCCGCTTGGTGGAGGGGGCGGCGCCGAGCACCTCGGCCTCAGGCTCGGGTCGGATCCGGAAGAAGGCCCTCCGCATGGTGCTGCTGGTGCTGGTGGTCTTCCTGCTCTGCTTTGCTCCCTACCACCTCAACCAGCTGGTCCACACGCTGCGCCGGATGGGCGTGCTGTCGGGCTGCCCGCTCATCCACTTCACCTACCGCGCCCGGCGCGTCGCCATGGCGCTCTGCAGCCTCAACTCCTGCCTGGACCCGCTGGTGTACTGCCTGGCCTCCGAGAGCTTCCGCTGGAACTGGAGGGGGTGCGCCCGGTGTTTCAAGCTGGGTCAGAAGCCGCCGCAGCGGCAGAAGAATGCCGCCATCTGAAAACGAATGGGTGTCCCTGTATCCTAGTGCCAAATGACGCATCCTGAACCTGATCTGATCAGGGGTCTTGGCCAGGGGACACGGGATGAGCTCCAAGCACCTGCTTTCGAAGTGCCTCCGTTCTCGCTCCGTCCCTGGGGAATGCTGTGCTGGAAAGATCCCATGCTTCCCGTGCGTTTTCCTTCTGTGGCTTTGTGGGAACTGTGGATCGCTGTTCACCCCAGGGTGCTCTTTCAGCTCTTGTGCCAGGACTCAAAGGAGAGGGACTCTGTAGATCCTCCACACACCCTGTAATTCCTGTGCAAGCCAGGCCTGGGATTGTAATGTGAAGCATGAAGTAGTGGTCAGGGCTGTAGCGCAGGGGCTATGACTCCGTTGTGTTCTCCGAGAGGTTCCTGTGTTTTTTGTGTTTTCTCTAGTTGAGCTGGGTGTGTTAGCCAGTGTAGTAACCGGGGACAAATGATAGGGCTCCATCCAGCAGGAGCTCTGTTTTCCCTCTCTGCCTAATCCTGTGCTTCCTGGTCTAAAAGTTCTCTCTTGCTTTTGCTGGTGAAGCAATTCTTCACTGAGCACTGGAGCTGCTGCTGCAGAATGGCTGCCCCGAGTCTCCCAGGCGGGGCTGCACTTCAGTGGTGAGGAAAGTGCATCCCTACACGTGCTGGAAAGCACTTTGCAGTTCTGTGGCATGAAAAGCACTGTCGAAATGCAACCAACTGTTAATTAAACATCTGTTTTGGAAGTTTCCTAGGCATGTGAAAGAGATTAAGCATTAATGAGACGGGTGGAGGGAAAGTCTGACTCCAGAGCAGATCTAGAGCTAATATCCGTATCTGAGTAAAAATGCCTGTTTCTTTGCGGTATCTGAATTCTACAGACCAGGAAGCAGATCCCGGTTTACCTTTTCACTTTGTGCACCTCAGAGGCACTGGAGGCTTGCACAACTCTGTGCACTCTGCAAACACATTTTTCTGACTTTCTCGCAGAGCGCCAAGCTCAATCGGGCAGCTTCCGGGCCTGATAACAGGTTGCAGGGGGACACTGCCAGTGTTTTACATTAACAGAATTGCCTCTGTGTGTTGAGTGTTTGTTTTTCAATTGCAATAAAGATAAGGCCTCAATGAGCCTGGCATCTGTCTCTTCTCTGTTTCCAAAGTGAGCGCTGCTTCAGTCTAACCCCATCCAGCTTCAAAAACACCCCAGTCCCCCCCCATCAACAGCACTGGGAATGTGTTTCAGTCACACCCATGGGCTCCTTGTGCTTCCCAGCCCCCAGCCTCTCCCTCTGACTGTGTCTCAACAAGATCCTCGAAGGGGATCAGCTGTCCCGATTGCTCAGACTGATAATTAAATCTCGGTTAACAAAATAAACTAATTGACGGTATCACAGAATTCCACAAATTCTGAATTAAGCACATAATCACAAACTTTGTGAAAGTACCGTTTGGTCGCCATATTGTCTCAAACCCTTGGTCTCGCTACAGGTTTGAGTCCTGACTCTGTAGTCGTCAAATAGAGTTGGGGTTTTACCTGTGTCCTGGCCTCTTAATAACCCCTCTTTATGAATTAGTTTCATCACTTTACTCTCCTCCCTGCTGATAGCTTGTGTGATAAGCTCATACTTATTATTAAAGTAGTACATCGTTCTGCACCTTTAGAAGTTGATCCTTTACAATAGAGAAGGGCAGCTGTTGATGATCCTGCTGCATTTTTACATTAATCACGTGTTGAGACCTGAAATTCAACAAATACAACGATTCCTTATTAAGAGAATTAGGTCACTTACTGAATTAAAACAGGAGGAGAAGAGAAAACGAGAACAGCCTCCTAAACACATGTGCTATTGCATTCAATCTGCACGTGTTCAAACACCACAGATAAAAACACAACAACAATGCATGCAAACACGTGCCTTCGTCTTGTTCGAAACGATAAGCGCGTTTAAACAGCTCTAATTGAGGAAAAGAGAAAGGTCAAGCCGGGAAAAGATAGGCTGACCCCGACGTGATTTGAACACGCAACCTTCTGATCTGGAGTCAGACGCGCTACCGTTGCGCCACGAGGTCCTGTTATACCTAGGGAGGAAAATGCTCTTACACAGCGCTGCCGCTGCAGGGTTACTGCGCTGTCTCGGCTTCTCAATTTCTAATTCGCAGTTAAACACAGACTGTCCAGCTTCTGTTTCCTCAGCCAGTTAACTGAATATTAACTTAATATTGCGGGTGCTCATTTTTTTATATACGCTTTTCTTACGCCGCTAAAGACAGTAACAAGCTGTAAACATGGCAGTGCCAATGTACAGCGCAGTTCCCTGGTGGTCTAGTGGTTAGGATTCGGCGCTCTCACCGCCGCGGCCCGGGTTCGATTCCCGGTCAGGGAAGTAGCTTTTTATACGGATGTACAGGAACGAATCTTTTTAAAACAGTTATTCTCAAAAAGCATGGTTGATTATTCTGAATATTCCCCTAGTGGCGTATAAAAGCAATAAAATATGATTTTCCAAATCACTTCCACTTTATACAATACTCGCGTTGACAAGGCGGTGAAGCCAAGCCTGTAACAACCCGTACAACATTGTCGTGGTGAAAACATCAGTGATAATTTTGCTTAACAGAAGACCGTAGAGAAGCAAAAGATGATTTTGCCTTATTCGAAAGAGCATGAGCTCCACTTGCACTAACGTCTTTTTTCGTGGTTTCGTTTTTTTTTCTTTAAAATTAAGTTCTGTGATCCTTTATCGACGAACGGAGAAGAACAGGAACGATATTCAGTTTTAATTTTATGATCCACAAGAACTCTTGCCTTTCTGGAAAGACAGGGAAACAAAACACGCGTGTTGTTTTCAAACGCAACGAAAGTGTGTAATCTATTTTTGCATTACTGCGGAACAGAAAAAGTTTTGCGTTCGTACTCTGGGTCTGTTGGTCGAGTCCACCCACAAGAGGGCGGTATAGTTCAAGAATTTAACAAATGACCGCTTTTTAATGTCTCGACCCTTAATGCGCAATTTGCAAAATGCATACGTATCGCTACGTCACTGATAAAAAAACACAGCTTTTTTATCTTGTAGATGTAGAGGAAGAAGGCTGACGTATAACTGCTGGTGTTGTTTCTCAAAGAGATCAAGGCGCTGCTGTTGCAGATCGTCTTTGAGCAGTAGGAAACAGCGCTCGGCCGAGATCGACGTGGAGCCGAAAGTCGATCGGTGAATTCGCTAAATGATGCGGCGTTTTCAGACAAGGCTTATGAAAATTAATGTCTCCGGTGATTAAAATATGGTTTTCCATTCATACCTAGATAAAATGTAACAGTCTTAAATACACCTGCCGGCTACCAGTAGTAAGTTGCTGGTTTGTGGGGAGTGTACCTCCTACTTTCTCTGTCGTCGCATCATCTGGTGGTGGTGGAGGGGATCCCCATTACCTATAAAGCGCTTTGAGTGGAGTGTCCAGAAAAGTGCTATATAAGTGTAAGCAATTATTATCCCAAAGGCTTCCCCTTGTCTCCAAAGCATTGTGTCCTCTCCCCAGACTGACCCCTCTCGTACTGTCCATTTGCTCACAGAGCCAAACACGTGGAATTTCAACACCTTATCTCAGTGCGAATCTGCTAATAGAAAAAGGAAACACAACATTTTCTGGAATGAGAATACTGTAGTTATAGCTTATGTGCTATTATTATTATTATTATTATTATTATTATTATTATTATTATTTAAATACAATTTAGTTGTTATCTCTGCCTGCAGATCCTGTTCTTATTTGCTTGTACATTGCTCAACTGTACACTGTGTACATTGCTACACATTGTACACTGTAGTTTAGTTCTTACGGTGACTAGTGGCCAGGAAGGGCTGTGGCAAAGACCAAGTGTTTGAGACAACATGGTGACCAAACAGTACTTTCACAAAGTTTATGATTGTGCCCATAAAAGCGCCGTATAAGTGTAAGGAATTTATTTATTTATTATTTAGATAGTTGGCCCTGACGATGTCCTGCCCATTGAAATCTACATCTTCAATGTGTCAGGAAACAGCTGGATATCAGCATCACGTTGAGCAGCCTGTTCCACACTCCCACAACCCTCTGCGTAAAGACCAGCCTCCTGTTCTCAGCTTTTAATGCACTTTCACAGCACTGCCTCTCCCGTTCTCTGGTTCGTGTTTCCCTGTTCGTGTCGCCGTCTCTGCAGATTCTGAATGCTTTTATCAGGTCTCCCCCCAGCCATCTCTGTTCAAGACTACAAAGGTCCAGTGCCTTCTGCTTGTCAGTTTAGGACATTCCATTAAGCTGACTGCTATTCTCTGAACTCACTCGAGTCACAGATCTTTTCTATAAGGCAGTATGGGCCACAGCAGACTCCTGACTGCTTCAATGTTATTCTGTACAGCACAAATCCTCCCCAGCCGTCACAGCTGGTAGGCATGAATTGCACATGTGTGACTGAACGCTGAAAGCTGTTCTTTCTCTCGGAAAAACGCGCAGACAGCCACGCCGCTCCATCAGAAGGAAGGGGCACCAGCCCCGTAGCAGCCGAACGCTCGGGTAGCGGCTGGTTGGGGCTGCCGTGGTTTCCATAGCGACCCCGCTGCAATGCGGGCTTCTTAAAGCGGAGGACAAAGAGAACAGGGGAGAGACTCGGGGTCGGAGGGTGGGCTTCCGCGGGCCTGCTTGAAGAACTGTGACTGGGGCCTGCCGTGGCGCTGCGGAAACCAGACCCGCCCGGACGTGTCTGATCGGACCGAGCCCGGGGCCGAGCGCGACTGCCACACAGGAGGACAGGTCTCTGCCGGAGGAGCAGTGCAGGGAATGTCAACGCGCCAGAGCAGCGTTCAGCGCCAGACCTGGCAGCGGTCAGTGCAGTGCGTGCAGCTGCACCGCGGCAACGTAATACGCAGTGCAGTACAGCGTCTTCGCGTGGACAGCGCGGGGCAGTGCAGCAGGGTGGACAGAAATGCCGCCCACAGCAGCAACGTGCAGTGCAGGCAGTAGAGCAGTAGGTCTACTGCTGTAGGCAGTAGAGGTCATTAATGTGCTGCTCACTACAGGCATGGGCAACGCTGCAGTAGTGTGCAGTACAGTGCAGTGGTGTTCAGTATAGCACAGTAAAGGTCAGCAGTACAGTACAATAACATGCAGTAATGTGCAGTGCTGCAGTAATGTACCGTACATTAACAGGCAGCAGAGTTTAGTTAAGTGCAGTAATAGAACCCCAATTGTTTTGTGTGTTTTAACAGCTGTGGTTGTAACGTGTTTAGTTTTGCTGGGTGGGGACGTGGGTTGGGACATTGTGGATGGTTGTCTTAATTTTCTGCTCCTACACTGCCTGACACTAAACATACACACCTAGCATGCCTGACCCTGGTACACCCTCTCCCCTCCTCCTCACCTCTCCATCTTCTCCGTGACCTGAAAATGTGAGTCAGATTCCTCCATCTCCAGCACAAGCAAGCCTGTCTGCTTCCTGCTTCCTGTTTTCCCGATGGGATTCAGATTTCCTCTCCCTCTCTCAACCCCCCCTCCCCCTACTGAGCAGAATCTTAAAGATTGGCCGGAAATCAAGCTGCCTTCTTTCACTGCAGCTTGGCAGCAGCTACCCTGAGGAGGAAGCCGATCTACAGGCACTTTGCTGGATTCAGGACGGTGAAATTAAAGTTGAACAGTTGATGTAGACATCAGCAGGCTTTTTCAAAGGAGACCTGATTTCTTACAAGAGCTTGGTGAGGCATGCGTTTTAACAAACATTACAATCATGTAAAAACATCCAAATGACCTCTGACCACTATTTACATTGGACAAGTACTGACATTATTAAGCATATTTTTGCATCACTGCATGACAGGAACATCACCACCAGATGATCAGCTGCAAAGCTGGGCCTGGTCAGCTCTGGAATTGGAGACCTATGAGGAAAACTATGTTGCAACTGCAGGTGGTGTTGGTGGACCAGTAGGTGGTGCTCTTCTCTTTGGACCACAGATTGCCAGCCAATGTCCCAGTAGGTGACATGGTGGCATTAGCAATGCTGCCTCACAGCACTTGAGCCCTGGGTTTAATCCCGGACCTGTGTTGCTGTCTGTGTGGAGTCTGTATGTCCCCCCCCCCCCCTTGCCTGCTCCCAGTATGGTGACTGGGAACTGTCCTGTCTTGCAGATGCAATGTTAAACTGAAGATTGTGACTAATCATGTGTTAAAGTTAATTCTTTAACACTTTTTCAGTGGGTAGGGGTGTTAACCCTGGTGTTAGTCATAATTCCACTCTGGGAGTGCACACTGTTCTTCCTAACATTTTCCAGAAGTGTCAATTTTGAAGTAAATTATCAATTTCTCCACCTGATATACATAATGACTGCCCAAGATCAAAGTAGCATTTTAGTGTTGGGTTCCTGCTAATGTATATCTTATGTACTTGAGATGCATACTGTAAAGTAATAATAATTCCTTACATTTTTCTAGCGCTTTTCTGGACACTCCACTCAAAGCGCTTTACAGGTAGTGGGGACTCCCCTCCACCACCACCAGTGTGCACTGCAGTGGAGTGCAGTACTGTGCACTCCAGTATAGTGACAGGTTACAGCACTGTGCTGTGTAGTACATTACAACACAATGGACACTGAGGCAGGACAATGGAGTGCAATAGGTGGAGACAGTAGCATGCAGCTAAGCACTGACAAGGGCATTACTGTAGCACGACCCAGAACAGTCAGCACAGGACACTGAGTAAGTACGATGAATCTTAATTCACACAATGCAATAGAATGTAGCAGAGTCTAGTGCATTACAGAACCAAAAGATGCAGCACAGAATATAACTAGAGCAGGATGTCAGAGTTCTGCAAACACAGGGGCATCCGGGGCAAGAAGCAAATGCACAAGCCGACTGTGCACCCGCTGACTGCACGCTGTCGATTGCAGCCACTGTGACTGCATGCGCCACCTAATCTAGCACACACGGACACTGACCGGCAGCGCGCGCACACACAGCTTGACGGAAGGAAACAATCTCGGTGCCTCTAGGACCCAACTGCTGCCCATGTGATTCACCCAAACACCCCCCCCTTTCCTCTGCAGTGTTTTTGCCCCGCTAGTCCCAATTCAATGCGGGGAAGACCGCGCCGCCTGTGAGCTCCAAGGACTCTCGGTGTCCCGCATGCCGCACCGCGACAGATGAAGGCCGGCACTGAACCTGCCCCGTGCCAGTGAGGCGTTAGCAGCAGCGGCCGACAGCACAGAACGGCGCTATGCTGTCGCGCTCATCTACCGCAGCCCCGGGGATGGCGACCGCAGTAATGTAACATCGCATCAGCGCTGTACGCCGGGTACGGGTATTAGGAAGAGACAGCCGGGGCTGGGCGGAGGAGGGGTGCCACAGAAGGTGGGAGGAGAAAGAGATGTGTGCGCCTGCTTCTACACGACCGCCGACTTCTCTTCGTCTTGTTAATGTTTTGTCTTCTCGAAGGTAAACTCTCTCTCTCCTCGAAGCCACCCACAGTTGCGCAGCGCGCCCAGTGGGTGCAGAGGAAATGTCCGGTCTGCAAGAGACTGTCGTCTGAGGAGACGCGCACACATCAAGAGGAATTGGCTATAAGGTAAGCAGACTGTTCTCTCATCAGCGTCTGGTTTCGCTGCAAAACGTTTGCATTCTGTTACCAACCCTATTGCGGTCTTAGCTCTCAATACAAAAAAATCCAAAAAAAATTTCAAATACAGTCAGTTCACTTGCCTTGTTGCCCATTAAAAGAGGCAGGCACGTACTCTACTGTGCAGTTTGCATCCTGTGAATTCTTTGACCGCTTCCGTCGGTATTCTTCATTTCATCAGACCGCTGCCGTATTGTAAGGTACTGTAAGACGGGACAATTTCGACGATCTGTTTTTTTTTATTTTTTTTTAGCGCAGACGCTGCTTTTGGAGTAATTAAAGCAAACTCTCCTGTTTACGGTCCTCGGCTTTTCACCGCGTCGCCGCGTTCAGTGTCCCCGGCAATTAATAGTTCACATGGGCTGCAGCAGGGACTGTTCCCTCGACAACGCGTGTTTCCAGCAGGGAAAACAGGCAAGCGGAGGAAAAACTGCTCTTTTAAAAGCAAGGAGAAAAGAGGGAAACTACAAGCTATAGCCTAGATCGTGCTGAAGGTTATTTAGTTCATTTCCATGTTCATCTAAATCTGAAATGGAAAAACATCATTGCGAACCACCCCAAAAAACGGAGCTGTAACTGAACAGCTGTGCTCCCGTGGTGAAGTCTGCTGCATGAGCCAGTTCAAGGTGCAGGGAAGTTTGCGAAGACAGGACCAGCCTTGGACCCAACAGGTCCCCTCTTTGGAGCGCCGATCTTGTCCTTCCTGGATTCCAAAGCCACACAAACCCCAGGCATGAGATCAGTGTGAAAAGTGCTCAGCGCGGTGGAGCCTTGCGGTGAGTTCAATTCCTGGGGTGCTGTCTGTGTGGAGTTTGCATGTTCTTCCCGTGTTCACAATCCAGTAGGTTAATTGGCCCTGGTGTGAGCGTGTGTCCTGTCCAAAGTGGATCTTATACCCATTGCTTGCCAGGATAGATTCCAGCTCCCCTGTGACTCTAAATTGCACAAAGCTGGGTGTCCCAGTGTGGGGACTGGGGGCTGTGCTGTCTTGCAGATTTGCTAAGCTGAGGATCTGACTAGTTGATCATTACAGATCCTGTAGCTAACTCACTGTTCTTTCAGATTCATTTAGGGTAAGCATGCATGCAAGTTCCTGTTCCCCTGGTCACTTCCGAACAGGATGAGCATTTTGAGATGAGCGTCATTGCCGACTTATAGACTGATTGCTTCAAATCTCCGAACGGGAGCAATTCTGAGCCAGAATCTGGCTGGTGCTGTAAGCAGTGTTGGTGGCCCAGTAGGTAGCACTCTTCCCTCTAAATCAGAATCCCAAAACCAGCTTTTCTGTAAAGTGATGTAATAATAATAATAAACTTTATTTTATATAGCGCCTTTAAAGGTGGCTTCTCAAAGCGCTTTACAGAATGACAACAACAATAAATAAAAAGAATACACAAGATAAAACACAATGACAATACACAGAGGAGACCGTGGATGGTGGTACTAAGAAGAGCAGAGGGGTGAAGAATGGAAACAGTTCAGTAAAGGCTTTTCTAAAGAAGAAGGTTTGGAGTCTGGATTTGAAGGAGTTTAGAGAAGGTGACTCTCTGATATCCTTGGGGAAAGAGTTCCAGAGCTTGGGGGCATAACAGGAGAAGGCCCTGTCACCCATACAATGTAGACGGGCTTGGGGGACAGTAAGGAGACCAGAATTAGACGAGCGAAGGTTGCGAGGTGGGGAGTAGGGCGATAATAGTTCAGACAGGTACTGAGGTGCCAGGCCATGCAGAGCCTTGTAGGTGAGCACGAGGATTTTAAAGTCTACACGGAAGTTGACCGGTAGCCAGTGCAAGGACTCCAGGATAGGAGTAATGTGATCATTTGCACTAGACCTGGTCAGGATTCTGGCTGCTGAATTTTGGACATACTGCAGTTTGTTCAAAGTAGATTTAGATACCCCAGCGAGTAGAGCATTACAGTAGTCAATTTGAGAGAACACAAATGTGTTGATCAGCTTTTAACCCACAGTTAGTGATAGCATAGGGTGTAGTCTAGTGATATTTCTGAGGTGAAAAAAAGATGTTTTGACAATATGCTGCACATGTGGGTCGAATCGAATATAACCCCAAGGTTTTTCAATTTAGGTTGAAGCTCAAGTACGGAACCATCTACAGATAGGGTTACAGGACTGGCTTTACGAAGTTGATGGGGGGTGCCAATAAGCATGACTTCAGACTTGTCGCAGTTAAGATGAAGGAAATTTTGAGTCATCCAAATTTTTATGTCAGAGAAGCAATTAGATAGAATAGAGACAGCCACATCAGTGCCAGGTTTGGTATGGATGTATATTTGAGTATCGTCAGCTTAGAAATGAAAACTGAGGCCATGTGATCTTAAAAGCTGACCAAGTGGAAACACGTAAATGCTGAAGAGCAATGTAGCAGAAGTCTTTCTTTGGTACATTAAACGGAGCTCCTGACTTGCTCATTAAAGTTCCCTGAGAGTAGCACTCAGTGTAAGAGTGGTGGTTTCCTGGCTGAATTCTACTCTGGGCTTGAATAATCTAGTCGCCCTAAATCGTCCCCCTTAATTCATGGTGGATGATGTGCACCCCTTTTAATGTATTAAGTGTTTTAGATCCTCTGAGAGGAAATGCACTGTATGAAAATTGCTAGAAATTTCAGGTGTCCCTCACCAACGGTTGGGGATTACATTCCTAAAGAGCTGGTAAATCCCCCAGTCTGTGGGAAACAGGTGGTCAGGTTACCACAGTGGCATGTGTCAAAATCAGCAATGGCTAACACATTGTGTAGATTTCTCCCCTAAAATTCACCAATTCCGAAACCAGAATTTTAGTTCATCATATGAAAGGAATGAAATAAAACAGTAAAATGGAGCGTTGTTTACCCTGAATCCCGAGACCTGTGCATGACAAAAGACCCAGACTCAGGAGAGCACTGGGGTCACGTGTCGCAGGCTGGTGTGAAAAGTGTGAAACTGCAGGCACACCAGGGAGGTGCACCAGACGAGACAACAACACCACATCCTGAGCTGGCAGTACTTTCTGAAGCTTTCCGGGAGCATAACCGTGAGTGAGCTAGGGCTTCCCTGTGCTTGTGAAGAGTAGCACTCGATATCAAAACCAGGTGGGAGAGTCCCGTGGTGGGGCAGGGACGCCTGTAGCACCTCGTCCCTGGATGATGAACACAGGTCATCCGCATCATCAAGCCACTTCACTAGTCCTGTGTGCTCTTTTATGAGTGTCAGATGGCAGGCCTGCAAGATAAATTTGCGTGCATCAACTTAACCGCCCAGTGCTCCTGTCCTTCAATATGGAAACGTCACGTTCGTAGGGGTACAATTAGGGATTCCAGTGGAATTCCCACAAAAATCTATGGAACTGCTACCATCACCATTCCAGGATTGTGGAGTACACCGCTATTAAGCCACAGAACACTTCTAGTCTTCAAAGACTTCATTGGCTTTGCTGTGCCATGTTAGTCGGGTCAGATCAATCCCTCTGTAAGAGTCGGCAACTGCTCAATTTTCCTCCTTTTGTTTGCTCTTTGTTGCTTGACAGAACTATGTAATTTACACCTGCAGCTCCGACTGATGGGAATTGCTAAATTGGGTCCCGTCTCACTGGTGTCGACATGAGTCCTCCGCTCACCGTACTCAACCTGGGCCAGAGGAAGACGAAGTGCAGAACGTGGGGGAAGAAGAACGACAGGCCTGTAAGCTGGTTCATTCACATGCAGTGCACAGACGTCTCAATTAACATGCAGTGTGCAGCCTTTGAGTTAACAAGAGTCCCCTTATAGAAAAGTGCAGAAGCAGCTACTGCTCCTCTGCTGTTTGGGATAAAAGATATGAGGTGCGTGCAAGGATACTGGCTCTAACTGTCCTGATTTAGTCTCCAGTTTGCAGTAAGACAGTCTGAGCACGTACTATTGCGTCAGGTTAGAGGAAATGCCTTAGCGGACCATCTCATGCAGAGATATTGCTCGGGAGGCACTCGGCATCATTTTGACTTTTTCCAGTGCTGCATGTTTATCATGCTTACTGATTTCGACAAGGATCATGTACTTGTTTGTGGTGTCTGTAGGCTGTAGTGTCGCTCCAAACAAAATAAAACCATGGCTGGTTTCAAAGGTGTCCTTGGTGATTAAGGTTATTGACTTGAACATGAAGATGTTACCTTGCACACGATGGATCACAATGAACCTGTGACGCTGAAAGTCAAGGCAGTGTTTGTTCTGCTGCTGGTCTCGCAATAAGCAAAATAAATGCGGTGTCTCAGATTTCAGTTCATAATGGAGGAGTAACGTTAATGCTCCCCTTCAGGCCAGACCGCAGGCAGATGTCTTCCATATTGTTTTCCCTTCTGCCACTCTCCATTGCTGCTCTCCCTCTAGTCTAAAGCACACAATTATCAGGTCTGCTTTAACTGGCTATAAATAACAGTGCTCTCCTTTCCCTGCTTCTCTCCACCCTCCCTGTCCCTGTTCTATTGCTGATTCTCCCTCCTCTTCTCCACTGTCTCTTTCTGTTGCTTTTCTGTCTCTCTTCCTTTGTCTTTCACTTTTTAAAAACAAATTTGCCCTAAGCGTTCTCTTAGCCCAGTGCCTAAAAAAAGCTAGTCAGCTGATCAACAGACCCCGAGAGAGACGTATCTTTACATGCAGACGTGAGGCGAGTCATGCTAGTCTGAGATCTGCTCTGTGCAGCAGCAGTGCTCAGGGGCCTGTGACGAAAACTCCCCGCCTTGTCTCATAAACGCAGATGCAAGACCGCTGGGGTGTCCCGTCCTCGCCCTGGAGGGCCAGCGTGACTTCAGGGTTTCATTCAGAAATACCAGGCAGGCATACCAGGAGCTGCTGAAGAGACCTAGAGTACCTGCAGACACACTGGCTGTTAAAACAGCAACCTGCTGTATTAAGATGCTATTGAAACCAGTGACCCTGGGCCTTCAGATAATAGGCCTCCACCTTTTCAATTGTCCCCCTACAGCAACGTCATTTAATTTCACGTGGCTGGCAGTGATTCGTATCCTGTCATGTAAAAACGCTCATGGACAATCATGAGCTTGACGTGCACAACTGCACGACTGGAAAGCAGAATAGACCGACTTGATCCAAAGTAATTCTATACTTGTAAAAAACATTGTGATTGCCATCAGGTCTCCTCGGAGCTGTCTGGACCTGCATCTGACTGCTTTGCTCTGGAGCACGGAGTGGGAACATGACAGGACAGAACAGGTGCTCTATTTCTCGCCTTCTACAAGCAGAGGCAGGCGGCAGCTGCTAAGATTATAAAGCCAACTGTGAATAATTAGTCCCTTCTGGCTCTGTCTGGCAGGCTTGTTCTGTGTATGAGGGTTTTATACATAAGGCATGCATGTGCGAGTCTATCAGAGCTATCGCCGCTCTTCCACTCTGCTTCAAGACCTTGCTTGCTTCATTGATCCTCAATAACAGTGGTGGCCTTGCTGCCAAATACTCTCAAACAATCAAGCACTAGCTAAGAAAATCCGAAATATGGGTTAGAACAATCTCAGCTATGACAAACTATTTGTCAGACGAGCGTGTCTCAAGATTAGCTTCAGCTGTGAAATCACAGAAGTGGGGCCTAAGTGTTACCAACAGAACACACCACTTGGGCCACTGGTGAGACAGGAAAAGTATCTTGTATAGACTAGAAGAGCAAGTGAGAATAGAGAAGAATCCACCCTTTCTGCCATGTTGTTAGATAATGGTGCATTTGGAATATTTGGAATAACTATTGGAATGCCTCATTGTCCAAAATAGTGCAAATGGCTCAGCAGTGGCTATGTCCCACAAGGCTTGAGGATCATAAAATAGTAAGGCACCAGCAGTTTTACTAAGTGTGCTGTGTTAATGGGAAAGACGGCGGCTATAAGCGACTTCAGAAGACGTGAATGTGGGTGCATGTGCCCTCTGAAGGCAACAGCAGACAAGGCTAATGTTTTACATTAGACAGCTTCAAGGCAACAAAAAAATACACTGAAATGAACAAACAACTTTGTCCAGAAGAAGCTACTGAACTCTAATCTATAGGTTCCCACAATTCACAGCTGTGAAAATATAGCGGCATCATTGCTGGACACTGATAGAACTGTAATAGGATGTTTTTTTTTTGTAGCACACTACAAATTTGCCCTTTTTTCCTAATCTTACCCCCCACCTGTCAACACCAGGGTCCTCCAAATTGCAGTCCTGGAATACCCTTAGCCCTTTGAGTCTCTTCCAAGTCAAGACAGATGTGGAATTTGGGAGATGAGTTCTGACTTGCAAAATGGTGTGTTTGGGGGGGGGTTGGATCTATTCCTGCATGTTTTCCGTTTTTACTCCAGCCTTATAAGGGGGTTTGACAAAATATGAGTACTTAACTTGACCCCTGGGGAGAAATAAAGTATTTTAAAGAGAATTAAAGACACTGCCTGGTTTGAGAAAAGAAATACATTCATGCTTTCCCTCCCGTGCTCCTAGCCCAGGGCAACATTCCAGGAACTATTTCAGAATCAGGAATGGAGGGATTTCCCCTCTTCTATGGACTGCTCCGGCTTTTGTCATTACTGTTGTTGCTTTGGTTTGGTTTTGAAAACCCTTCCCTTTATTCTCAGCCCTGTTGTGGCTTATTCTCCTGCAGGTTTTTGTGGAATTCCCCGTAAATACCCAAACAGACAAATTTCAGCCCCTTCAGCAACAAACGGCTTTGTGTCTGAAACCACTAAAATCAAAAGCAGAAGTCTTTTTTTAAACACATTATTTCTATTTTATGCAGTGTTGTTTGTGAACAACCTCCTAGAGGTTGACTTGTCCACCATTAAGGCTGGCTGGAAATCAGTACTCCGGTTTCAAGATGCACTCCAGCCATTACTCTAATTCTTGACTCTGCATTTACACCTACGTGGTAAAATGCTTAGGCTTGCATTCAGAGAACTGTTCAGCACTGTGAGCTTTAGTAAAGGGGGCACCCGAGGTTTAGAACAGTTTAACCCTTTAACAGGAGAGATTAAAGCCCCCGCCTTACCATTTGTGGAATACAACTCATAATACTTTGGCTCACCTTTAAAAGTTTGAAAGGTTTGACTTCTGATTAAAATCAGTGATGTCTTAATTCCATATACACCTGCTGTCCTTTCGCACTCTTTGGACTCTGGCCCTTCCTTAGTTTTGGGCCTAAGACCCCAAACCCTGGGAGACAGCTCTCTGTTCTGTTGCTCCAGGACTGTGGAAGGATACTAGACAGCCAGAACATTTCAAAATCCTGCCTTGAATCTCACTTTTATAATCTTTTTTAAGTCGAGTGACTGAATGTATTGGTATATTACTGTCTCTTGTTGCTTCACTGTGAAGGACCTTGAGATGTTGCATCATGAAAGGTGCTATATTAAGATTATCAATGTCATCATTATTATTACTGCACTGTAGTCCACTCCTCCCCTCCACAAAAAGAGCTGTTAAATAGAAATTAGGGAGTCAAATTCTGATCTCACACTTCCACTCTCCTACGTACACAAATACTTGCTGGCTGCTCACACCCCTGCCTGCAGCTGTACCCTTGCACCTGCCTCCCAGGTTCATTCCTTATACGTGACGGAGGTTCTTACTTTGACCTTTGGCTAGGACCACCTTTTCCTCTGCCTGGTGATGCCAAACTATTAACTATCAGTGCACTCTGATAAATATCTCTTTAAATTCATCGACACATTTTTCCATAATTCAAATTTGACTGAGCTGCTGAAGGCCTTTCCTCCCACAGTTCAAAGACATACGGTTAGGTTAATTGGCTGCTGTAAAAAACTGGCCCTGGTGCGAGCGCGTGCGTGTTTGTGTCCATGTGTGTCCAGAGGTGAACTGGCATCCTTGTGCCCAATGCTTCCAGGAATAGTGACCCTCAATTGGAGGTGGTGATGATGAGATGCTGAAGACGTTCTCCTTGTTTAGCGAGAAACAAAGCCTTCTTCTTCTCTCTCTCACCCACACACACACACTCACACACACTCTCACTGCCTCTCTTTCCAGATCCCAGGGGCCGCTATGGACCGAGTGAGTGTGCTCTGGCGCCTCCGCCGGCGGGTGAAGAGGGGCTTCGTGTGCATGGCGCTCTTCTGCGTGGCGATGGGATTCCTGTACGCCTTCTGCGCTGAAAACAGCGTCACGGCCACCGACGCCATCTTCGGCACGAAGGCCCGCACCCGTGCCCAGCTCCGACATCACTGGCCAGGCGTGGAGCGGGTCTTAAGGGGGGCATCTGGCAATCCAGGAAGTTCCGTTAAGCAGGGAAGGTCACCTCCTTCCCTTCCTGCCTCCAACACCAGTGCCAAAGCGCCCCCTCACGCGGTCAAGGGAGATGGACATGGCTTTCTGTCTCGGGTGGTGACCCCCTTTCTGGGGCACCTGTTAGAAATCGTGAGAGGCACGGGACAGAAGAAAGAAGGGGCCGTGGGAGATTTTTTTCGGGGCCAGGCCAGCCTGGGCCAGGTGTGGAATGAGGAAATGTCCACCTCCATGCTGAGCAAGAGGCTGAAAAAGGTGGTGCAGAACTACCAGGTGAGCAAGGACAACATGGAGGTGGGGAAAGAGTGAGGAAGAAGTGGGAAGAAAGGAAAGAAACAGTTATTCAGATGCGTGTTTAACATCACGTTCTTCAACTGGACAGGGTGAGGAAGCAAAAACAAAAAAATAACAGTTAGATGTATTCTAGTGTAGGGTATGTGTAGAGTTTAAAACATGAGCAGTCATGTTAAAAAAAAATCGACAGTGCACTAGTTGCATCTTACTTGGAATATGGTGCTATAATTAAATGTTACCCTATAATCAGTGTGAAGGAGATCAACTGTTCCTTCCTGAAAAAAAAAGGGGATCTGAATCTTTTTAGAATGCAATTGATATGGCTGCACGAGACACTTCATTATGAATCATTTATTGCATTTTATATATAGTGATTTTTATCTAAAAGCATTGACCACTTCAAGGGGAATTGCAGTCCCAATTTCTCCGACTGGTTATTACATCTTGTTAACCAAATAAATGAATTGACGGGATCACCAAATTGGACAAATTCCGAATGAAGCACAGAATTGTTAACTTTGTGGAAGGACTGCAAGTCGCCATATTGTCTCAAACCCCTGGTCTCACCACGGGCATGAGCGAGAGACTGTGCAAATTGAGATGTGGAGCGCCCCTTCCTGCTCACTAGTCATTGCGTAACATAATGCGATGTATGAGCAAATACATACAAGTTGTGCAGCTGACATTTTACTGCAGAAATGTGCAATGTGCAAATCTGCAATGCTATCTGAGCTATCTTAAGAGATGTATTGACAAGCCTGTTTGTTTACAGTGCAATAATTCTGAATCGCATAATATGAAGCTTCAGCAACCGGGAAATTTTGTGATGTAAATCTGAGGTTTTGCGTGTTACTGTGCACATTTTACATTCATTGTGGTTTGAAGTGCACTCAGAGGTGCCGATTATTTCTAACCCCGAACCCGGTTCGCTCAGCTGGGTTTCTGGTATTGCAAGCCCTGAAAGCCATTGACCAAGCCGACTCAGGACTCTTAGCAGCAACACAGACCTGGAGGCACAAGCTGAAATTAAGTCACATTTGGCATTTTAGTTGTTTTCTTTCTTTGATTTAATGTAAAGTGCTTTGAGATGTTGGGAACTGTCAAGACTTGAATCAATGGCCCCTGCTCGTTACTAATGAGAACGCTTGCTCTGCTGTCCTCTGTTCTCTCCCCTGCCTCACCATCCACACCAGGCCATGAATAAGTATGGGGTGCACTTTGAGCGGCTGGCCAGTCGCAGGCGCCAGCGCCTCACCGGGGAGGAGCTGCTCTGCGAGCTGAAGGACAAGGTGGCGGTGACCTCACTGACCCCTGACCTCCCCCCCTTCTCAGAGCTCTCCTGGGGCTCCCAGCTTCCTCCCCACCTGGTAACAGCTCACCTGGGGCCCTACAAGAGCTGCGCTGTGGTGTCCTCCGCAGGATCCCTGAAGAACTCCGGACTGGGCAGAGAGATTGGTGAGCAGGGCGGAAGGGGGGAGGAGAGGGAGGAGAAAAGGACAGAGTGGAGGAGACGGGGGGGGCAAGAGGAAAAAAGAGAAGCGAAGAGGAGAACAGAAAGGCCTGTAAGACTGGACTACCCTGTAACACCACATATTCAGTAAGTCACCTGTGAACAAAAACTCCTCTCAGGGTCCTGTAACAATTTTACATGGACTCTGGAGTGCGCTGTTCCCTCAGTTACAGACATCACATCGTCTCAGTGGGGTTGCTCCCTTGAGATTCCTGACTGTCTAGTGCGTGTGTTTATACGCAGTCCAGTGTCCAGTGTTAACAAGCATGCTTGTGAGCAGAGTGATGGTAGACTAGCTATTAACAATGCTCACACACAGCTTTCAGAGTGCACACATAAGTGCTTAAATGATACAAGGAACTCATCCAGACAGTTACTGGCATACTCCACGGCCCATGAGGTACATGAGTGCTGTGGTTATAAATACATTTCCATATAGTCTGTACGTGGGCCCTGTGGTTCGTGTTTCATCGTGCATTCTGAAGAAAGCTGCTGGGTTGACTTAGTCAGGGATTTTGAGACTTGCAGCAGGTCCGCTTGACCCCCCTGGTCAAGACTAAAAAGGTTCTGTTCCTCCAGCTTGTCAGTACACAACATTGCCTTAAGCCCCAGTAATAAGCCTCGAAGTAATATGTTTTCTATAACGTGGCCATCAAAGCTGTTCACAATCTTCTACATGAGGTCTTACTGGTGTGTTACACAATTAATTAAAACATAGCAGCACTTGATTGAAACTCTACACTTTTAACTGTATATTCGAGCATTTTCTTTGAATTGCTTCCCCACGTGGTCTTGAAGATGTAAATGACGGGTCACCATAATGACATCATTTACATGTCATTTGCGTGCTATATGTCTTTTTCCTAAGTAGGTTCCTGTAGCTCAGTGCTTCCCATGTTGTATTAATACAGGATTTGTGTTTTTCCTACCTCCATGCAAATGGCAACACATGTTTACCAGGCATTTGTCCAGTCTTGAATTTACTCAAAACCTTTTATTTCATTTGTTGTTTTTACAGCAATCCTCGTATTATGGTATTATCTGCAAACATAAATGAAGTGTCCCAGAATCTAGATCATTGGTCATTCTCTATGGCCATAGTGGCCATGACTTAGTTCTACACCTTCAGTTACTCAACACTAGTAGCGTCTATTAATGACATCTGCAGATATGAGAAGCTAACCTTCAGTACAACCAATTAAGATGTGATCTGTGAACTGTCAGTCTGATCACGGTTCTCTAAGCAGCTAAAATAGTTTTGAGGTGTTCGTTTGATCCAGGCAGTACAGAAGCAGGTGTGCTTCTTCCTAAATTGCTTGCTTTAAAAAAAAAATAAACTCCCCTTCAGCTCAGTTCTCTGACTTTCTTCTTGTTGCTTCGCTGTTGTACAGAGCTGTTTCCAGCTCCCCAGTGTGATGAATATACCATCGCTGCTGGTCACAGGCTGTGGTAAAAGCACTGCAAAATTGCAGGAAACTATGAAGTACTGTACACACTTCCTCTTCGAAAACTCAGTCTGCATAGATTCCGTTCTCATTTTGTCTTCAGCAGTCTTATTACAAAGTAGTTTCGATCCCAGAAGGCCATCAGGGCTGACCATTGTCAGTACCGAGACAGGAAACACCGGAAAACCAGGAATTCAAAAACATTCCTTCCACGTGTACAGAAATATGGAGAACCATCTTTGCCCTGCCCCATGTCAGAATCTGCAGATCACTCATGTTTAAAGTCTCATTGATACCCACCTTACAAAATACCATTACTTGCATGGCAGTTTTTTTCTTTTTGTGTCTAGCACTGCCGTTTCTTTTCGGAAGGGTTTGTCGAGATGCTAGTGGTCCTGTTGCAAGAAGTGAGCTGTGCTGCTTGAGACAGAAGGGTCACAGGGCTTGTGGGGTCATTTCACCCCTGTCTAGAGTCAGACTGTATGATTCTGGGAGTCTGGACAAACCCTAACGTTGAACATTGTTGGTACACTACGGAGTGTCGGGTGTCTCTATTGAAACTGTCAGACCTGTTCTGCAGATCTGCTTCTCCTTTCTCCAGATTCCCATGATGCTGTATTGCGGTTCAATGCTGCTCCAACAGGGGGGTATGAGAAAGATGTGGGCACCAAAACCACTGTGCGCCTTATCAACTCACAGGTAATAGGGCCTGTCTTTAGCCTGGGTGCATCGCCTTCCTGATCAGTGCATCAGTGAGCCAATGAGTCAACATATCAGTCCACCAGTGTGTCAGACAGAAAAGCGTCATTCGGTTGGTATGTTAGTAAACATTCCAGCTCAGGAGTCGTTATGGGAATGCTATATGAAAGATCAATCAGAGTATGAGTATAGGTCAAGCAGTGTTTGTGGATTTGACAATCCATAGGTATGTGTAATTATGTGCAATTTCTTTTGCTAAGGCTGCTGGTATCATAAGGTAGACTTCACTGTGTGTTACTAGGTAATGGCTTCAGAGGACCACCACTTCCTGTCCAGCTCCCTCTACAGCGCAGGGACCCTGGTAGCCTGGGACCCTGCTCCCTTCTCCTCCAACCTCGCCGAGGTGAGACTGTGCCAGGCGAGCAGCAGGGCAGCCGTTTCTGCTTTGGCAGACTCCCTTGTCTGTTTTACCATCACTGTAATCGTCATGTTGTTATATTATTCATCCGAAGGAACTTACAGCTACACAATGTTACTGAGCAGGCAGAGCAACAACGTTCAAAATTCTCACTACTAATAAAAAGCATGGGGTGGGGAGGTAACAGCCACAATCGGCTAACAGTACACGTATACTCAATAAAAAGCAGCACGACTGCTTCTCAGCCAATGAAGGACATCTGAAACTGATTGATAGATCAGTTGCTGCACTACGGTCCTAGACTCTGTGGAGTTCAGTGTAGTACCTCTCCGAGTTTCTGCTTTTCTCTGTCGCCCTTTGTTCTCTGTCCTGTTAACATACTGTGCTGTGTGAATCAACTCACCACCCTTCGCCCTCATATCATATTTGGCATCATGTTCATAGCTGGTGGAACTTTTCTTTCTCTCCTCTCCCTCCTGTGCTCCCTCTCTCCATCGCAGTGGTACAATAAGACCGATTACCCCATCTTTAAGCAGTACCAGAAGTACCGCCTCCTGCACCCTCAGCAGCCCTTCTACATTCTGCACCCGAAGGTTGAGTGGCAGCTATGGGAGCGAATCCAGGAGAACATGGCCGAACCCATCCAAAAGAACCCGCCCTCTTCGGGGCTTCTGGGTAAGCCCACAACACAGAGACCCCACCCCTCTTTCTGTCAAACTGCCACATGGTCTCTCAGGGCTCTATCAAGATTAACAGTCACCACCCACTGTCTCCCACTGTCTTTGTGCTGCCATTATTCTACATGGAAAAACCCACTTGGTCAATATCTTTCTACAGACACCACCCTGTCCCCATAAAACACTGCTTTGGAATAGTGTGTGATGAGGTTAGTGTGTGCGTGTTGCAGTCACATCTATGTCAACCACAGACGTTGCACTGATGATGTATTACTGAATGGCTTTACGGCACAGTTTTAATGTCATTATTCATGTATGCATATTAAAGACAGTCCTGGTCTGGTCACATTTTGTCACAAATTGTAGGGCATGTCTTGATAATGTCTTCCTGTGTGTCTGTTACAGGCACAGTCCTGATGATGTCAGTGTGTGAGGTGGTACACCTGTATGAGTTCCTGCCCTCCCGGAGGAAGACAGAGCTGTGCCACTATTACCAGCGCTTTTTTGACGCCGCCTGCACTCTGGGGGCCTACCACCCTCTGATGTACGAGAAGAACTTGGTGAAGAGGATGAACCGGGGCACAGACAAGGAGATCTATCAATATGGCCGGGTCACCTTACCGGGACTGGCCACCCTCAACTGCACGGCACCCAGAGTGCACTGACTGCTGGAGGAAGCATGCAGATTTGGTTCTACTGCTGTGGGCTGACCCCACAGTAGTGGGGTAAAGCTGACAGGCACACCCCCACCCAGTAATGTGGATAAGCGTTTGCCATCTTCACACTACAGTGCCACTCACTGAAGCACCGTGAGCGGAGCACACTCATCTTCAGCTCCAGCTGCTGGTTGCTTTAGCATTATTTGGGTATCCATGTCTGGGACACATTTGATCACCGGAAGATCATGTCACAGTGGCAACAGAAATCTGTAGAACATTTATGGCATCATAGAATTGTCTTAGCTGTTATTTTCTAATATCCTCTAGCAAAGCAACCCATCCCATCCTGGAGATACCAAAATCAGCTTTTGACACCTGCCTTGTGGTCACTATCCTCCTGCTGTCCCTGTCCACACTGACTGGTACTCATGCACGCATATTAATGAAAGCACCAAGCGCTGACATCTGCTCTCAGCATAGCTCTCACTCTAGTCCCCAATACTGGGGGCTGCAGGCCAGTCCTGCACTGACAGGCGGGTTGTCTGATCTGATCTGGCCAATAACAGAGTCCCGAGGCCCTCATCTCCAGCTGCTCTGCTGTGGCATGAGGCGGCGTCTTTAGCATCTACAGCCTGACCTGCTACAATAAGCATTTGTCTAACTTTTGCTCCCATTTGGAGTGTTCAGCCTTGCCTCGGTGTAAGGTAATCACCAACTAAGAATGGCTGCAAGTGAGATGGAAGCCATTCAGCCCATTAACCCCAGCTCGCTCAATAGCTTATTTCTATGAGCTGGATCTGATCCAACGATCCTAAATGCACTTCCTTGTGGCTTCTAATTGTACTGTCATGTGTTACTAGTTGTGCCGTTCAGAAAAAAAGAAAAATAATCCATTGGGCTTTGTTTGACAATAGCTTTCTGGATTTTTAAACAACTGTGGCAAAGCCCCTCAGAATCTCAAATCCTCAAGACTGCCAGGAGTCAATACCTTCAAATTATTTGGGTATGGCCTGTCCCGTTATTCATCTTTCTATGGAAGTAATGGCCTTTCTGGAACGAAACTGCCATTAGGATTCAATTCTCCAGGAGCACAGAATGGAATAAAAGCCAAAAGAACGTGTAGCTCTCCAGAACATGAACTGAAGATGGGATCCTTTAGGAGAAGTGTGTGGCAGAGTTCCAGTTTCTAATTTCTGGTACTATATATTCACTCGACTGGTTGATTGCACGAAGACCAGAGCTTGTATTTTTCACCGTTGCTACTTGTCACCACAGTTTTGGGTTGTCTTGTCAGCATGTGAAGTATTCAAATATGTAGGAGGTGGAGGAAGAGATAGTACTGTTCCAATGACATCTCTCCCCTTGCCCTATCAAGAGCGTTACAGGTCCACACAGCACATGTCCAGTCTTTAGCGAAGAAGATGTCCCTCAGGTCCCCGGTATGTGCAGTAATCACTGGAGGTGGCTGTCATGAATTGAATACAAGGAGTGCTGAATTTGTGAGGAGAAAATATTTGTATCAAAAGGCCTGACAGTGTTGTCGGGCTGTGTCAGTCCCTCCTTCTGCACGGCTGCTTGCTGCAATTAGGCACCAACGCAGGTGAAGCAATTTTCTGCTCCGCCTTTCTTGAGCAGTAGGAAGTACTGTGGGATGGCCAGTCATCCGGCAGCTGTTGCCAATAACTCAGCTATCTAAGGAAATCTCACTTGTATTTTGTGTGCTAATATGGTCGCAAATGCATATTGCCCTGTGATAGATTAAAACATTAATTTCACATATTTAAAAGGGGGAGGTATGTCACCACCTTTAGCAATCAGACAAAGCATTAATAACACATTTGATTTTACATTGTGGAAGCCAGACACTTATTAGACGTTCCTGTTTTGACTAGTTTAGTAAGCATAAGGACAAAAGAAAGGTTATAAGAGAACATTCTAGCACTAGTACTTGCTAGTCACACTGCGCAGAATGAACTGCCTGCAAGCAACACCAAATTTCCAATAGTCTCTACTATACATTTATAGTCTCTCTAAAGACTAGCCTGATGAGTCCTACTTGTTGTGTTACACTGGGCTATGTTTTCTACTGGTAGAGTCTGTAACATTTCATTTGCCTCGATAGTGCCTGTACAGTGTGTACAGGCTTCTTATTTTTTGAAGGCAATCAAAAGGCCTCAATGAAAAGTCTGCAAAGGAACAGGTTAAGGTTTATTCCATGCTGAAAGGAAAATAAAAAAGGAACAACCTTTCAACTGTGGAGCCTTCTTTAGGTGTGAAGAATTCTTCACAGCCCAAATGCTGCGTCTCTTTTCTTTGTGTGATGAGAAACGTGGTCACTTTTCTTTATTAAGGAGTGAACAAGGTGTGGAGAAGGCTCTACAGCCGAAACATTGTGATCCTTTTCCTCTCTTTTCAGCATAGAGTCAACCTTCACCTGCTCCTTTGTAGTCCACGCATGCTGACGCAGATACCTGCTTGAACTTCTACAATGAAAAGTCTGCAAACCTTTTCTTTTTCTTTGCCAATGACAACTGTAGATTAAAAAACAATTACTGCCACACAATTGCTAGTTAGGCAACTTAAAACCCCTCTACTTGCTGGAGTTGAGTTTATGGTCTGTTTGTGGAATCAGTGTTTTCTGATCTTAGGGCTCCCCCATGTGGACAGCATTGGTGGTAGGACGGTGTACAGGCAAGATCATTTATTTATCTGGCACAATTGACTGGATGTAAAAGAGATCTGGTCTCTGAATGTTTATCCACTAAATAAGAGAAAATATTTTTTAAAGAATAACTTATTTTTGTTTTTGCTGTTATTGCTGCTACACTACTATTATAGAGTAGAGACTGTGCAAAGCATGAGCCACTATTCCCATGATTATATGGGGTCAAAGCAGCTCTTATAACCCCAAAAACATTTATTTCACAGGTTGTGGCTCTGCTACTTGCCCTTGCCTTTGGTACCAGCACCCTCTTAATTATAAAACGGAATTAACTAAGAGCTCCTTAATCTGGTTTCAGAGCTGGGTGTACCGAGATCCGGCAGCTAAAGAACAGATTTATAGGGGTGGCTTTTGGTTGCCCTCAGTGACCTTGACAGCTCTGGCGTTTTCCTGGGTATCCACCAGGAAAAAAAAAGCAATGCTGCAAAGATTGACTGATTTCTAAAGAGTGGCCACCACAGTTGCAGGCTCTCCAGGTGAGCTCAGAAATGATGTTGCCAGACCCATTATTTGCTAGAATCAAGGCTATTCCATACATGTCAGCCAGCTTCCTGTGAACCTGCTTGCTGCTATAGCTTTGCACCACTCTGGTGGGGAGATACACTAACTAGTGCAGCCACTTCACAGCTCCAGGATCCATAGCTAGTTTGCCAGCTTAGGCACCTTTCTATGTGGAGTTTGTCTGATCTCTCTGTGTTTGCATGGGTTTTCTCTAGGTAATCCAGTTTCCTCACACTCCCAAGTACTGAGTAACAAGCTAAAGAACTAAACATTTTTGGTGTGCCCCAAATCAGGCAAGGGTATATAGGAGTCCATGTAAACATACTTAGGTGCCAAAACCTATCTATTGCCAGTACAGGGTTAAAGGTTTTAAGAATATTATGCTGGATAGTTTTTAGGGCAGTTAGGTACTAACCTTCTGAATGTTTATGGTAAATCACGGCACTATCCCAGTCTGATGCAGGGCTACACTGTGAAGGTATGGTAAATGAGAATACAAAGAAATGTATGACTGGAGCAAAAGTGTCTAGTTACTGGACTAATTTGCCACCATGGTTCCCAGATTCCTGCCTGGACCCTTTCCCCTCAAATTTGTCCCAATTCTGTGTACGTTTTGTCTGTCTGAAACACTGTAAACATCTATATAACTGTACTGGAGTAAAGCGAGAGGAGCCGAGCCAGTGATGTGTGTGGACAGTCTTTATGCTGCGTCGCGGTGCAGAGCCAGACATCCATGAAAAGTCTTGATTCTGTTTCTCTATCTCCTTGTAGTCACCAATGTGTGTGGGTCTTTACTCAGCATCTCTGTCCAGTCGGCAAAGTGTGTGTACAGTCCTTCTTCAACGTTTCTGTGCAGAGTTTGTGGAAAGTCTCTGCTCGGCGTCGCTGAGCCTGGATCCCATAATGGGATGCCTAGAGACAATGTGAATTTTGAGACAGCTGGAGAAATAGTTAAGGATGGAGGTAAGAGAGGTAGAGAGCAGGTGTGTAGTCGAGATGGATATTCCCCTCTGCTTTCAGACAGGTCTAGATTGGGACATGATAAGAATGACAACACAGACGTGGCAGTCTGAGTGAGGTCTGGGGGGAGGAGGGGAAAGGGATGATAAAAAAAAATGATGAAAGGGAAACAAAATGGTCTTGCTTCCCGAAGTTGAGAAAGTGCATTTACAAGATATGTAAACCAGGGATTTCTGAAGAACTGCTAGATGTTTTGTTTTGGCCACTTGGCGGGTGATTCGCTCAAGAAAAGAAGAGGTTCAGACAACATTTAGAGCAAAAACCTAAACACAGCCTTGGATGACAGGTCAAGAAAACTCACTCATCTCCACTCTCATACTCCAGGGGGTCTCAAGCCCCAGACGCTGTCCTTCACACATTATTCTCCGATTAGTTATTATGGATCACTCAACTCTCACCGAATTACCTATTAAACTAGAATTAGAGCGTTTTCAATTAAATAACAGAGTACGTTCATTAGTATGAAAGAAAGCTCTGCTGGATCGAAGTCAGTCTCTTATCTGGCGCACAAAGAACTTCCGCTTTCTGAGGTCTTGATTCTAATAAATTACCTAGTTCACTTAAAATCCAGTTAAGATTTAAATCTTCATTAAAATCTCTTTGAAGCTTTGGAGAAGGAGAACCTCTGCCTAATTACACCTTGTGTGAATCGGTTTAGCCCTCCCCCATGGTGTGGAGAATTTAAGGAAACTCAGGAATTTATGGGAATGCAAAAAAACAGCTCTTTTGGCCCCAGTTTTACGCTTTTGAAGTCTTCACCGACTCATGGTTTTAAAGAGTCCTGTAAACCAAGCAGACTCTGCAGGCTGGAGTACTACACATTTGAGCTGTGGCTTCACATAACAAGAGCCAGCTTGGGGCCCCATTTTAAACCAGGGCAACCCCATGGCGGAGGTGCACCTGCAATTGAAATGGGATTGATCAATGAACTGATTGACCAACAACGCAGGGAGGGGGAGTTCAGACAGCTGTCGCGGTTTCTGCTGCCCCGTTTCCTTTTCGATAAACTGCTGCCGTTTTCAATACCGCCACTGTCGAAAAAAAAAAAAGATTTCAGTTCCTCCTTTTTTCAGCCGATGAGCACCACAACGCTTCTCCTTTATTGCAACAGCTAAAAGCGAAGCCTTGCTTTGCCACAAATGGCCGCCTCTCACTACTAGGGCTTCCATCTCCTTATAACATCCGCACTCTTTTGAGAGAGCATCTGAACGTGGGCATGCCTGAAGAAACTTTCACTGAGCAAAAAGTTCACTCATGATCACAGTATTTAAAGTAAACGGCATTATCCCCCATCGGAAAAAAATGCATGATAACCTTTTCATTCCTCTAAAATAAAAGATGCAAAGGGGCAGCTGTTAAGCTCTCAACACACAGTTTGCTACAGTTTTTACAGCTGCACATCACCTCTGGACTACCATCTTAGATGACCATTTCTGAAGCTCTGGGCCTGGCTTTGTTGTTTTTGAACGGGACAGCTGGGGCTCTGGTCTGAGTGTGCTGTACAGAAGCGTCACGCCACTGCATACAGTCTTCTCCAGCCCCCAGTGCTCACCACAGACAAACCATACGCTACACTATACACACCTTCCTCCACATGGTTTCACACACTCACAGTGTCATGTGAGGCATTCTCAAACCTTTTCAGGATATTCTTGTAGGCCAGAAACTTCTAAGACCATCTCGCATCTCAGAGACTGAATCCAAAATTTGAACCTGGAATCTCACTCCCTCCAAGTGACAATTACTCAATCAGACCAGGTGTGCCTCATTCCATAGGTTCCCTCCCCCCCTAATTCACAGGTGGGCATCTTGATTCAGGGTCACACCACCAGGTCTGCATTTTACATTGGAATGGTGGTTTTCTACACTTCTTATTCATTTAGAGGCATAAGAAGCAAAGTTCCAAAGCCTGTGTGGAAGAGCTCTTTTTGTTGGGTAGCATGACAAGGGGGTCTCCACATGAACTGTAACCTTGTCTTTCCATAACCAGTAACCATCTCAACCCAGATAGCAATGGAAATAAACTCTCAGTCAACCCCAGTTGGCCAGGTGTGCTCATTAACCACCTTCTTACTTACCAGCATCCTAACTCAGAACACAACCGAGGCTGCCATCGTAACCTAATCCCACCATGCTCACTGCTTCATAACTTTGATGGCCCTGTGGGGAAAAGTCAACCTTCACTGTCTCAGGAATCGCTTTTAAAGGGAGCCGAAGTCACCGGGTGCAGCCAGTTCTGTGATTGTCTTGTGAGAATCTGAAGAATGTGGCTCTCCTGAATAAAATGATCCCGCCCCTTAATGACTCACCTGTGCTTCCAACCACAGCTTCGCTACAGCCTGTTACAAAGCCCCTTGTTTTCATCAAATGGATGCAACATGACAGTAATTGTCTCATTAAAGCAGCTCTCATTCTTCACATCATAGTATATACTGTACTGTACAGTAAAAGTTATGCCTGGTATTTAACCCCCACTCACCACTGCCCTGGAGCTCTGGTGTTGAGCTTCACTTGTCCAGTGGTGCTCTCCGCACCAAGAACTCCCAGTTTAATGTACAAAGCCTTTGTCTGCTTTAGCCAGTACCTGTTCCGGTCCTGCCCATTCCAGGCCTCGACTATTCCTTGAATTCCTGATCCTGCCAGTCCCGTTTCTGAATCCGCACTGGGACAGCATGCTGTTCTTAGTCAGCCCTCACCTGCATGGCCTCAGCAGCCCTATCAGCCCTCACCTGCACAGCCCTGGCTTCTCCTTCAGCCCTCACCTGCACAGCCCTGGCTTCTCCTTCAGCCCTTCATTGATCACCATGGCCAGCCAGCCAGCCTTTCCCTTATCTACACTGTTTCTCCCAGATGGATTCCTTTTCCCTCAGCCAGCTGAAAGCTGTTAAGATCATGGTCTATAAGCCCATCTGCATAACTACGCTCCTGTATGGCAATGAGACCTGGGTTACCTACTATTGTCACTTGAAGACTCTGGAGAGATTCCACCAGCGCTGCCTCCTGAAGATTCTCCGTATCAACTGGGAGGATCGCTGCACCAATTCCAGTGTCCTCATTGAGGCAAAGACGAGCAGTACCGAAGCCATGATTCTCCAGAACCAACTCCGCTGGACCGGTCACTGCATCAGAATGCCCAACTCCCGTCTCCCCAAGCAAGTCCTCTACTCCCAGCTGAGCCGAGGCCAGAGAATCTGTGAGGCCAGAGGAAGAGATACTCTTAAGACCTGTCTTAGAAAAGGACAGATCAGCTTCATGAGGAATGACAAACACCCAAGATGAAAACATCAAGGAGCGAAATTGTGGCTTAACCCGCTTGGCTGAGGGCTGGCCTCCCAGCCAGAGGACAAGGAAGCCAGGACCCCCATGCAGGGTGACCCAGGGGTAGCTGCAGAGGTGGAGGTGGGATGCAAGAGACGTGCAAGAGAGAAGAGATAGGGATCTTGTAGGTATTTATAGCATTTGGGAGAGGAATGGATTGTCAGGAGCGATTGCTAATTATCGACAGCTGAGACCGATTGAACTTGGTTGTTCTCATCCCTCCTGAACTTTTGTTAGAAACTCCATATTGCTGGCGGGGAAGTCCTTGCCAGGGAACGTCCCCTTTGGCACCACATGATCTGTCAGACGCCAACTCACTTTGAGACCTACTGCCTTTCTGATGAAGCAGACAAAAGACGACGACGGAAGGAGAAGGGTGAGATCCCGGGTTTGCTAAAGCCACTCCCAAAATGGGACATCTTGCCCCCACTGCTCCAAGATTTGTGGCTCGGGGATTGGACTCCTTAGCCATTTAAGGACGCACAAGTAACTCTGACGGGCGTCATACTCGTTTTGAGTGACCGCCGATGATGAAAGCTGTTCGAAACCAGACTGCAGCATAACTATCTATGAAAGATTTTTCTCAGCTAAACATCTTTTATTTTTCCATGGACAGGTCAGGAATGTATCCTCCGTAAATAAGGAGGACTGGATGTAACTTTACATTGCAGAACCTATGACTGTGAAAGACAGGAACAGATATCTAAACCACATACTATTTGTATCCCTGATGGCAATAAAGTTATTTCTGTTAGCAGCATGCCTGAGAGGGCTTTATGTTTGCCCAAATGTTACCACTTATAAGCAAAGCGCATAGACAGTAACCCCTAACAGTGTGTTTTCTACTGTTATTTTGATTCAGATTCTATAAATAATCTACATGCTTTACTGCTTATAAAAAGGGTTTAAAAGGAAGAGATGGATGAACTGGCAAGGGAATACTGCATTTGCCATTGCAGTCTCATATCTTCACTGTCCTGGATTTGCTTTCACCTTGGGGTGTTTGCCTATGCAGAGCCTGCATTGTTCTCCCTGGTTCCATGTTGGAATTTGTCTGGGATTCTTGTTTCTTTCTCCCACCTCTTAAAGACCAGCTGAATTGTCTCTTTCTGGGAGTTTTCAGGGGGATTTCATACTCTGGAGGTGATTTGCAGTACAACCATTACTGGCCACTGGACTTTAGGAAAACAGAGCCAGGCCATCATGATGGGACAGGTGGCCTCCTGTCACGTGTGGACGTTCTGATGCTCTGCATGATTTTGCAAGACAATACTTTTCAGCAGCACTGCTGTAACTTTCACGCAGGGTTTGTAAATGTCGTTTGTGCTGCTGCTGGAAACAGGCTGTGGAAAGTGAAGTGAAACTGCCTGCAAATACACAGATCAACTGCAGCTAAACAGGGGAAATGGCAGGAGGCCCCTTCTGGTTTTGCCATTGTCAGGTGGGATGAGCTGTCAAGCCCAACCTGTTGAAGGGACCACCTGGCTTTCAGGATCTTGTGGACAGGATTGTAACGGAAGCGTTCTTTCCGGACCCTATGCAGATGACACAATCCGGGGTAAGTAAGGAAAACACGGGGAAAAAAGCATGCAGGGGTCAGGAATGAAAACAGGGGGTGTGTCCACGGTGCGCTGGTGTTCGGGGGAGGTGTGGCAGAGGCAAACAATCCAGAGCTGAGTCCAAAAGGGGTATCCAAGACGGGGCAAAAGTCCAAAGTCCAGTGCTGATTGCAATGCAAATGTGTTTGTGTCATCATCTTTTTGATGTTCTGAAACTCCACACCACAGCGAAAATATGTATTTAAAAAAAAAACTCTGCTGGGTACTGTAATCAATAAAGCCTCAAAGCACTTGCAAAGAACTGCAACCTCCGGTTTTGTATCAGTGTGACAACAACATCCCATTTTAAAGGAAAGCTCCTGTTGTAGTGGGGAAAAATAAGCTGACAAACGAGAAGGGCTGGCAGTCAGGAGAAAATAAAGGAGGAGTGGAAGAAGAAGGGTGAGGAGAAGAGACATTAGCAGAAGCAAAGGGGAGAAAGGCTAATGAACAAACCCTGCCCCCATCAGAATCAATAGGAAAACATGAGCAAGAGGACACAAGTGGAAACTAACTGGAAATGCATTTAAAACAGTGAAGAGCAGGCAATTCTTTACACTCAGCGGACGTTTTGATATATGGTCCTACACCTCCCCCTCTTCTAACTTTCCTGTCTCTCCGGAACAGTATGTACAAAATGAATTTACTCACAGGCTGCCTTGTCTGTACAAAACAAAGTCGTTGCGGCAGAAATGTCAAAGACTGTTGTTTTTCCCGGTAATAGCTGAAAATGTCTGGGAATTTTTTGCCGTTATAAATCTTGCCATTCTTTTCACAGGCATATGGAGACCAGTGAGGCTGATTTGTGTGTATGTCCTGGAGACGGGCGTCTTTAGAACACTAACACACGTGTGGGTACCGCGCGAGCGTGTGTAGAAAAACTTCGATCAAACTCCGGTGTGTCTGCGGGGTGGCTTCTGGGTGCTGATGAACTGTACATCCTATCGGGTGACATCTGGTGATCTGCTCGTTATGGCAAACAACGCGTCTGAGGGTGAGAATCTGAGAGAAGGGAAGAGAGAGAAACCAGCCCCTTCCCCGCATCGCAGACCCAGCATTCTCTGTTCCAAGAGGAGTCTGTCTGTGCAATAACAGTACATCAGAGAAGTTAAAGGACACAATGCGAAGGGTCTTCATCGCTGTATCTGCTGTGCAAAGGTCATTGCATTATGTTGGTTTCCTCTACTTAAGTCAGCGCAGTTGGAGGGACTGGGGGCAAGTGTTTTGAAGAGAGCTGCGACCTGACGTTTTGAAAAAGCCACCCGCCAGAGTAACTGCACTGACTACTACAGTAAGTCTGACAGCAGCCTTTTTACTTTTCTCATCACGTTCCATCGTCGTGACTTCACTGGTGATATTGTTCCTAACTGTTGCTGCTCCTGACAATCTATCCATCTAGCAACTAATTCAGCAAATGCCTTCACACAAAGTGATCCGCATTCAAATTTGTGATTCAACGAATTTGTTACATTGCCCGTGATGTGGAAGGAATTACCTTGGCGCACAACACATACAATGCAAAGGGGGTACAAATAAAAGGCAATCAGGCAAAGCGCTAATTCAGAACATTTAGCAAGGAGCGGTGCTGACATGCTTTTAAATAATAGGCAATGCAGTCAGTACTTCATGAGTCTTTATCATGTAATAAACATCAAGAAAGTTTATATGGCTCAGATGTACCACCTTGGGTATCCTTGTGATATTCAGTCATATTGTACCTTAATTTGAAGCCATTATGTCCAGATTTTAGCCTCCTAATTAGTGCTAATGTTATAGGTTCACAACTTAAAGAAAGCAGTTATTTTCTAAAGTTTTTTTCTTCTTTCCAAAATCCATAAACATCAAAATTCATGAAGCATAGCTTCATCTTTTAAGTAACCATGGCACCTACAAAATGCATCGTATTTTCTGCCACATATTGCCTTTTGACGTTTCCTTGTACGTGACTTCTTTTACAAACGAGTGTGGGGATAAAGGCAAATTTGTGCTGACCTGTGAGGACATATCAGTGTGTGATGCTACCCATGCAGATCCTTGTGCAGTGGACGCTAGTGTCTTGCACTGAGAGTGTCAGATTGGGCTTTTACTCCGATGCACCATGATTCTGCTCTCCTGTGCCACTGCATTACCAAATGTTACCCCTGCTAGCACACCCAGACTTCCAGACTGCTTTATAACACTTTCACATCCCCAGGCAGCACACTAAGCTGTTTCCACCATGATGGCCTCATGATTTGCAGCTCTGTAATGCGGTGCCAATAGTCTGTGCCCCTGCCCCGGAGCACTGCCAGCTGGATGTACCCACGCCACTCCACAGAACACAGGAGCACAAAGAAGGCTGCAGACAAGAAAAGGCCATTTGGCCCATACACATACATGTTGTAACGCTTACGGCCGACAGGTACTGTGTAAGAAACGGCGTACCAGAGCAGGTGACGTCACCGCCCTTCCCTGTGATAGCAGGACTACAGCTACTAGGCTGGAGAGAGATCTCTCTTTAGCTCACGGGGCTAGGTCACTGCAGAGAGACGCGGGAGTCCTGGGTTCGAGCCCCCGACGGTGGGGGGCTGACCTAATGCGCCAAGGGCGCCCGCCTGAGCCCCCGTTGCGTTATAATATTAATAGTGTCCTCATCTCATCAAAAGCCAGGTGTAAGTATGGTGTAAGCCTTATTTAGACAGAAACGAGAACTGAAAAAAATACCCAAAACGTAGCAAAAAACAAAAACACGTAGCAAAAAACAAAAAACAAAAACTAATTTTATGAAAGCCTGTTACAAGAGACAAAAGGGTTAAAAAAGTACTTCCCTGATTTACTAATCTCATCTCCTGCATATAAAACAGGGGTTTCAAGCTTTTTTTTATATCGGTCCAGGGGGGGTTACCTTACAGACCGTGCGACAGAAACAGAAAAACTCAAAACTGCACTGTTAAAGGGCTCAAAGCCTGAAATGTAGCCTCAACTGAAGAAAAGAGGCGAAACCACAAAAGTGTCACTCAACGGTCAGGCACCGTATCTGCTGCTTCCTGCGCTTTGAGATCTGCGGGCAAGGTGATCGTTGTTCTGCTGGTTCTGACGTGCTGCGGGCTGTGCTTTGTATTTCTGATCAGTGTGGATGTTAATCCGAGGAGCTCGCTAACAGCTGCATACTGCTGACAAGCCCTGGTGTGGGTGCACGGTTTGGAAACTAACGTTGCACTTTAGCCTCTGGAGGAAAGCGATAGTTCCAAAAGTCTCCACATCAGTTACGTTGGGGGGAAATACCAATACTAATACGCACACACACATATATAAAAAAACATGGATTATGTTTTATGTACATAAGGATAAACTTATATCCAAATAAAACCTACCTAACATCTGAAGTACATTTCAATCAAAGCTAACCCTCCCCCAGCAAATGAGTTGGACACCAACTCATTGAGTCTACTTCCTTTAATTTAATTTCCTTTAATTTATCTCCTGTATCTCCTGCCTCCTGACCCGGCTATTCTTGTGTGTCTGTAACTGGACCCATCGTCCACAGTGCCCACCACTGCCACTCTGTCAGCCGGGCATTTGCAACCACCCCTTCGACCCATCAGTTAAGCCTTCGGTTTTTTATATGTATGTATTATGTAATGAAACAGAGAAGATCTGTTTTTGACTGTTCGGCTCCGCGCACTCAGAGAACACCCACGAGCTCTGCCCGGAGCTTGGGCAAGAAGGTGAGAGGCGCCCTTAAAATGGAAACAGTGAGCAAGTCTCCTTCTTACGAGGTCAGACGCCCACGGCTTTTCTACAGCTGTCAGCTAGGGAAATTGTGAAAGCAGGACGGCGCGCTGGTGTGCAGAGAAAGTCAAGCAGAGACGTTTGCCGTTTTCTGGTTTTCGCAAGAACAAGCGGAGAGCGGGGAGGGGGTTTTCGGATCGCCCGGTGCTTCGCCCGCCCGCCGGAGCGGCGGTGAGGGACCTGGTGGGCGCCCTTCAGGTGGTTACACACCTGCTCCCAAAAAAAAAACCGACAACACAAAGACTTTAAGTTCCACCCCCTCCCAGCTGCGCACACACACACGCACACGCGTCCCTTCCGACCCCTCGTCTTGGGTCCTGGCAGGTCGCGCTATTTGAAAACCACCGCCTCTGGGCTTTTTCATTCGTACGCACATCTCGTCTGTCTCACCGCGCCCTTTCTGGAGCTGCGCTCACGTTGTTATAGCTGGGATGTCTGACAGAGCCATTTAGAAGTAACAGAACCTGCTTGGGGTAAGTGCATCTTGTTTGAATCCCATGCCACCACTGCATCAGTATCGGAGTCTAGTCCTTGTCACACGATTTTCTGGACAGGGTACGAGGTTTTGCGGCTCTTCTGGTAGTGCAGTAATGCTGATCTGTCTAACCGTGCTGTCTATCGAATTTGTACCTCTTTCACGAAAAAAAAAATGAGAATACTGCTTTACTTTGCAGCGCAAAAAAAAAAATGATGAATGAATAAACTATTTAAAAAATTGAAAACCAGAACTGGACATCATTGCTCAGATCGAAACGGACTTATCTCGGAGACTAGAGCTGAGATAGAAGTGTGGACATTGCAAGTTTGCTGGAAGTGGCCATCTAAATGCCATGCTGTTGTATTTGGCTGTGGCTTGTGGTTGTATTTGGTTGACAGCAATGTCAACAGACAATCAGGCAAATCAGTCTATTGCAAGTCAGTTAGAAAGTCAGGATCGTGTGGTGATGTTGCTAGTATTAATAATAAAGAAGATGATGCCGCAGTGAAACAAATGAAAAGTAAGTAATTGCACTGTAAAAGTAATTACAGTGCAATTAAAAGTAAAAGTAAATGCACTGCAATTTCCCGCACGGGATCAGTAAAGTATCTATCTAAGGCAAAAGGACGTTAAAAAGAAAAGGAGGCAGTTCTGGTCTGGGAAAAGCTACAGAACCCAACCATGCTATCATAACAGCAGGATGAGGCTCTTGGGTTGATTAGCTGCTGAAGACCAATTTGTTTCAAAGTCTATTTGGACTTATAAAAAAATCATGGAGTTGTCTGTCTGTCTGCAAAGCAATTACCCCCCAGCTGGAATGTCAGGGGATCTTCTAGAGTCAGACAGTGGCGTTTCTAATTCTCTCATGTTCTGCTGAGTTTATCCTGAATCCTTCGGTCAGATGTATGTTCTCATTTCCCAGGGAAGGGCTTTCCTTACAGAAGCGATCTGCTCCGATCGGGATGAATTTCCCTTCTTAGTGAAGCCACCCTAGGTTATTCTTGCATAGTGTGCATGTGCTGTGGTATTTACTTGTGTATTTATGGAAGTATTTTCTTGCATTTGTGTATTTACTGTTTTGCTGAGGAATGCATACATTCTTGCAATTTTTCAAAATTTTCATTTAAATGGTTTCGACCTTAAAATCGCAGTATGTCAAACACACTAATCAGTGGTTTATTAGTCTCTTATTATTTCTTTTTGAAATTCCAATTTTCCAATCACGCTTTCGGTCATTTCGTCTCTTTTCTGTAACTTGGTGTACTGGCGTGTCATAATTTAAAGAGACTGTGAGGTCCTCCCTGCATGAGGAAGCATTTAACGTCCAGAAGAGGTTCCACTCGTTAGGGCTGTAGTCCAAGCCCCTTGTCCTCCACCTGTTAGTCAAGCTGTGTGGGCGAGAGGTGGAATTAACACAGCTGGAGGAGAGGTCTGAGGTAACTAATGTGCTGAATCACGTGTACGACAACTGTACACACAACACTAGAAAATGAAGTATGCGGTAAAACAACAGGAAACTGCATGTGGATCCCTCTTAGATACGCCCTAGTGAGAGCAGCAGATGCTCATTATTTTCTTTGTGCCATCTTTTGCAGCTAGACCAAAGAAGTCTCCTCAATTCAACTACGTTCGAAGAGGGTGTGGTTCAGCTGGATTACTCGGAGGAGCCACGATGGACAACACAACTACGCTGCACAGTGCCAACTGGGTCTTCGTGGGCACCTACGCCGTGGTCTTCGTGGCCGGGCTGACTCTCAACCTCATTGCCCTTGTCGTCTTCTTCCGGCACAAGAAGACCCGCTCCCACACCACCACCTACATGACCAATCTGGCCCTGGCTGATCTCCTGCTCGTGTCTACTCTGCCCATCCGGATCTACCACCACAGTGGAGGCTCCATCCAGAACCAGAAGATGTGCGAGACTGTGGGGCTGATCCTCCTGGTCAACATGTATGGGAGCATCTTCCTCCTCACTTGCATAAGCTTCGACCGCTGCATTGCCGTCTGTTTCCCCATGTCGTTGAGGATCAAAGAACATCGGAAAAAGGCCCCCCTGATCTGCCTTGGGGTGTGGATCCTAACCATTGGGGCCAGTGTGCCCATCTACCTGAGCAAGAACAGCACCCCCACAGATGGGAACATCACGCAGAGTAACAAGTGCTTCAGCAGCCGTCCGATTTACGCAACTCAGCCCTTAGCGATTACAACCACCTTGACTGTGGGTTTTGGCATTCCCCTCTTCTCCATGCTAGTGTGCTCCTGGTGCCTGATCCGTGCCATCAACAAAAGCACAGTGGCCCAGACCGATCTGGTCAACAAGAAGAAGATCAGGAGGATGATTGCTGCAAACCTGGCCATCTTCCTACTTTGCTTCCTGCCTTACCATGCCATGCTGTTCGTCCTCTTCCTCAAGAGGAACACAGAGCAGATCGAGGACAACTTACTCACTGTTTACCAGTACAGCCTGATGATAGCCTGTCTGAACGCCATGTTGGACCCTCTGGCCTACTACTTCACCACGGAAACTTTCAGAACCAGGGTGGACGTGCAGAACCTCAAAAAGAAGGTGTGGATTTTTTACAGCAACAGCTCTGATGGGCAAAACAGACCCCACAGCCCCCTCAACACATAAATGGGAACTAAGGGAAAGGGTGCAGAGGGTATACAGTAGTGAGTCGTTGCTGTCCATCCTTGAAATCCATCCAGTATCTCCTCCAGCTTCCTGCACAGCCTAACCAGGACTTCATTCCCGAGGAAATACGTTTTTTTTTTATTCGGAGCTATTTACCACCTCCAGAGTGCTGTGTCAACCACTGTTAGTCGGACAAATACAAGATGTAGCAAAAATAAATGCACAAAAAAGGCACAGTGCTTTTCTAATTGTCAGAACGCGGGACAGGACAAAAACAAGTGGGAGAAATTGTAGAAAGTCTGACTCTTGAGTTTCGAACTGAGATTTGTGGATTTGTGCGGTGCTGAGCATCTCTCTCATCCTAGCGTTAATCCCATCAGCAGGCTCTGCTTGTCGGCACACCCGTCTCCATTTGGCGGTTTGAACCAAATCTTTGAGCTGACGTTGCCATTAAATGCGACTGAGAAATACTCCAACCAGCGCGTTGCTCCGCCTGCCGTTGGGGGGGGGGTGAACAGTGAAGTTTGCATGTGGTGTAGACGCAATTTCTTACAGTTAATGGGTAAATAATCAGCTATCTGTGAAATCATATTAACCAATTTTCAAGAAGGAAAGGAAGCATTGTGCTTCTGAGAAATGGAGAAATAAGGAGATGGAGAATGAGGAAGAGATAAAAGTCATGTTTATCTATGCATTTGAGCAAATTATCCCTCAATCTGTTGACACCGGGCAGGGAAGCTTGCTAACAGAGATAAGGAACGTGTCACAGACGTGAGTCAATTAAATCAGATAAACAGAAATGAAAACTGAGAAGGCCAATAGGTTTCTCACCTTGCTCTGGCAAAAGGAAGCACAACCCGTGTCGCTCTTCAAGCTGGTGAGGCTCAGCTTGGTATGCTCATGCTTCAGAGGGGATCCTACCCTAAAAACAATAATGTCAGTAAACAGGAAATGGGTGCGCAGCACCAGCTTTCATGCCCGCATGAGCCAAACAACAGCGCTGCCATGCCCTTATTTTGCAAAGTTTGTTGGTTTTTTTTCAGCCAAAGAAACCTTATGACAGCTCCATCTTCCAATGGGGGAGAAAAAAAACCAACAACAAAACCAGGCTGCCCGTAGTCCTTTAAGAAATGTTCAAAATCACGTTGCTTGTTTCTCAACGCGCAGGATTTCATAAATGCTTTATCGGGGGGTTTTTTTTGTATCGTCACATTTTCGGGGGTGACACAATTTCCCGCTTGCTACACATCCTGTTACAGGGTCCGTGTCTGATTTGCGTTCCCCTGGCTCTTCCTGCTTCTCTCGTGATTCGAACAAAAACATCAGGTGGGCGGCAAGGAGAGAGGCGGGTTCCTTTATTGGTGATTACCGATATTCCACAAAACGGTCTTCCCCCAGCTGAAGGTGCGCTGAGGCCTCTGAAGCCTGCGCAGCACTGATATCCTTCCCCTTACGCTTCAACTCCAGCTCAGGAGGCGCTTTTCCGCAGGAGGGGTTTCATTTTGGGGTTTTTTTATCTCCCAGCAAGAAGTACAATCGTGACAAGGTATGCTGGCAGAGGCCTGGGTATGACCCGGGTCATTTATTGAGATAAAGAGGACTATTCTATTTCGGATCATTTCATATGGGAAAGCTAAACTAGAAGTGTAGGAGAGGGCGGCACTTTACTGTACAGATATAATGAGTAAAACTGATGGAAGATATATTTCATTCATTTCATCTGTATAACCTATAACATACCTCTCCAATAATAGCACTTCTAAGTACATATACTGTATAAAACATGCATAAATCCTAACTGTAACACTCCATTGTAATACCTCATCCTAACCCAACTTTAATTAGAAAGCACTCTCTCTTCAGGAGTGATTAACGTCACAGGGGGGAAATCAGACAGCTAGGAGACAGCATAAAAAAATATAAGTTTGTTAACGGAAAAATAAAACTTGTATTTCCAAACATAGCACTACCAAAGTAGTCCATTGGCTTCTCTTTCCAGAATATAGCTAAACATAGATGTTCCTGTGTGTTAGTCTAAGAAGCTATCGTTGGTTTATTTATACGACGAGCTCCAGAAATCAAATATCTGCAATTCACAAATCCTTTCCGCGTGACAGTCCAAATATTCAGGATAGCCAATTTTCTTCTTTTAATAGCCTTCTCAAACTCAAGTTGCTTTTATTTCTCACCCAAACTCCTTAATGCACCACAAGATTAATAATAACATTATCAACTTCAGAAATGTGGGAGTATCATTGCTGTTGCCACAGACAGATCCAAGGAGGACTCAGAGCTCTAAATCTGGACAGCTGTTTTCTAAAGTTCATGGAAAAGATGTTACCCAGGGAAGCTGTTTCCAAACTGAGGGAGAATCCTGTGAGATCAGGGTATGTCAGGACAGCTACAATTAGCTGTAAACTGCTTTTTATCATATATATCGCACAGTATACAGGTCAGCCAAAGAGCCAAACTTTGTCATCTTTTGTGTGTCACTGCAAAATCCCTGACAATAAGTTGTGTGTTTCAGCACTCTTACTTTGGTCTGCTACCACTGAGAGCTGAATGGCTTTGCTTGCAGTGCACTGTCCCTATGTTTCACTTTGCTTTAGTACACACAGTGCATATTGTACAAGAGCAAATAACTGGACTTCAGTCTTCTTTAAAAGAGGCTGTGGCTCTTATTTCATGGTACCACTCTCATCGAGTACAGTGTGATAGCCTGGTGGAACTGTCACAATCAAGTGTATGAACCGGAGGAAAATAACGAACCCTATGCGGAGCTAATAGGAGTAATGTCAGACTTCCAAAGGTCGTGGTCCAAGGTACGAGGTCGGGGGAGCAAGGAGGCGAGGTCGGTAAACTAGAGGTCAGGCAGCGGGGTATCCAAATCCGGAAGACATGAGGCAGAGACGTTGTCGGGGTCGAAGCAGAGTAAGATCAGGTATCCAGAGATCGAGGCAGCGAGGTGTCCAAATCCAAAAAACGCAAGTAGAGACGGAATCAGGCAAGCAGGGTCGGTATCCAGTAAACAGAGATGAAAATAAAGCGCACAAGAGAAAGTGAAGGCTATCTCAACAGTGAGCAAGGAGTAAATGGAGTGAAGGGGTATTTATGAGAGAGCAGGGGGTGATGGACTGATTGCTAAAAGCAGCGCAGGTGTGCACACCGGGAGGTGCACACGGGAGTAAGATCCGTGACCGGAACTCCCAGGAAAACAATATCGGATGACCAGGGAAAACTGTGATAACATCCCCAAATACTACAGTCTTACGTGTAGCATGGTACATCTTCAAGAGGAAATGCTCTGTCAAATACAGCTGCTGAAAACACACAGTCAGCCAGACGTCACCTACAGACCCACCGCAGATCTGCAGATAGGCTCTTCAAAGCTGTCTGAAAGTTGAGCTGATGCTGAGGCAGAAGAAAATAAAGAGATCTTTCCGCGCAACAGTCTCCTGGCAGGCTTCGCACCGAGCTCAGCGTTGAACTGCACGTGACTTGCACTGCAGCTCAGCTGTTTAAAGTTGCAGAGTCACGCCCTGGACCGGTATAGAGCCATATTTAACTCTTGTCTTCTTTCTCACGTTTTGTGTCTGCAAAGAGAATGTGAGAACGTCAAGCTATATTTACATGGCAGGGGATTCCAGTGTCGTTCAGAAATGAGTTTTCATAGTTCAGGTAGCGGGCAACACTCCAGCAGTGATTTTCACAGCTGTATGTACAACTAGCATGTTAGCAGCACAAAGCAGAACCTCGCTTTCCCAAGAAGCAGAAATAATAATAAAAATGAGCCACAGATTTCAATAGAGAAGGTAAAAACTGTTGTTGCCTTGGACATGTGCTGAGAGATGGATCTAGCAATGGCAAGAATGGCATAGAAAGACATCAATATACACTGCTTTTGTTTAGCACAACAACAACAACAACAACAAAAACATTCTTACAGTTTTATTGATTTTTGCATACTGCCTAAAATGACTTATAAGCTATCAGAGGAACAAGGTGTAAGGATTAATTGTTTTATTACTTTACGGGCATGTGGCAGTCAAATAACCTCAGCAACACAGAAAAGCAGGAACTAATGTAGAAAGAAAATGTAGCCCTAACTTAACCTCAGTCTGTCTGGGGTTACAGGAGGGGCATCTATTTCATCACTCCCCAGTATTTAGCCTTTCTGGCCTGGGTAGTGTCCTAATGTGGCAGTTTCATTGTCAGCTCTGGATCCCCATTTGTCTGGGTAGCCTTGGTTTCGAGTTTTAGAACCACAGTTAAGCACAGAGCTAGAAATGTCTACATTCCCCAGATTTACCCAGGAGTACAGACATTGCCAGGATCGAGCATGACCTCCCATGAGTCCAGTTCAGGCATGGTGTCTTCTTACTGTTTCCTCTCTGCATCTGGGTGAGGTGCAAACTAATCCATTAAAAAAATATTTCATGTAATGCTGCCTGTAAAACAAGCTGTCAAGCCACTCTTGTGGTTAAGGTTGACAGGATGAGGTTGACAGGATGGGATCAGGCTTAGTTTAACACTTTGATAGTGAGAGTTAGACAGCGGAAAACCATAAAGGTGGTTGAGTTCACAGATATCGGGTCCTTTAGGTTCTCTTCCAACAGAAACACTCAAGCTTCAGTGAAGCATGCTTTCAGCTAGAATGTCTATGCAAACTTCTAAAATCTGGTTTAAGGTACAGCATATATAGTTAAAGCATTCCTCCTGGCCTGGATTCAAGCACATGTTTTGTCCCAGTTCATTAAATAATGGTGTCGTTGAACTGAGCAAACCTGTTGTGGTGGGTCTCAGTCACAGGGTGACTGCCACAGGGCGCTTGAGTTAAAAACACTGTTTTACTGGAAGTGGTGGGCAGCTCTGGCTAGAGCCCAGCAGGCTTCATAGGGGTTACAGCTCAAGACCTTAAAAAACTGTGAAGCTGGTCTAATTAAGCAGAGAATGTGTTCAGTGGCACAATGGCGGGCTGAGATGTTGTTAAAGCCGCATAATCAATGGCACTGTGCATTGCTGCCCTAAGTCTTAGGTCTACACATCAGTGACAATCATGTCTTTGGAGAGCCCCACCTCAATGCATTTTATAAGGTGATTTTCTAAAAATGAAAATCATGCCCTCCCCCCCCCCCTCCACTTCTGTAGGCCTTTTTGTGAGAAAATGCACTTGTGTTTGGAATGAAGGAATGATCATCCTGCAGTCTCCCAGGACTTCCTCATTGACATCTCTGATCTCAGCAGGACAAATTTCTTAACTAAGACAAATCCCAAGCAAATGTGCAGTTGAGGCTTTGAAAACAGCTGGTTCAAGGGCATCCTGCCAAGAGTGCTCAGCTGTGTGGCTCTCCAGGGAAAGGGCACCCAGACTGCAAGTCTTCGCTTTGTGCATATTTTACACGTGAGACACTTTGAACTGATTTGCAGATTCTAGCAAATGAAAGTGGAAACACAGCCTCCTAGATCCATCTCTGAGAAGAATTACCGTCATTTGCTCAGTGTTTAATGAAACTGCAATTTCTTTCCTCTGTGGAATATCCACTGTTTGTGCGAACAATCAGAACTGACTGTGCGATTAAGTGTGCTGAGAGGATTATGTGTAGCATTTTGATTGATTTCTTTTGAATATTATATGATTATATCTCAATCCATGACACTTGAATTTGTCATGTTTGAATTTGTATGTATCGGAATTCACAACGTTAAGCGGGTGGGAGGTTTTGTTTGTGAGTGTCTCAGATGTTATGCAAATAAGTGCTCTTGTGTAACTTCACATTTATTTTAGGTAGGTAAAGCTTGAATGCTGAGTTATTGACTAAACCCCATTACCCCATACCTACTATACCTAATGCTTCATTGGACTTGCACTGGCTATCTGTAAAATACAGAATTTACTTCACAATTCTGTCATTCATCTGAATAGCTGGGAATGGTCTGGCCTCATCCTATTCAAGATCATTACTTCTTTTGTGTGACGTGAAACCCAAGAGATTCATACTCTCAATACTTTCACATTAGTTCTTGGAACACTTTCAGTCTAGCCTGTTTCTAACACTTCAGTATATGATCTGGATTTATGTGGGGTTGCGTATGTCCTTTTATTTATATTTTGTTTTTGGGCTTTAGGTACAGAATTGTTTTTTGAATTTGTATTCTGTTCACAATAAATCTTACTACAATTGATATGTGTGTGTGTGTAGATAAATGCTTTGTGCTCTGCTTTATGGTTGCTTTTGGTTGTACAGTTCTGCAGCAGTGCAATGTGGCCAAAAGTCAAATGGGATAATCAGATACAGATACATTATCACTGTGGGAGTCTGTAACTGCAGTGTTAGAATTTTGCACTGAAGAGCATAGCAATCTCAGATACAGGAAGAACAGTTTCTACATACCAAACAATTCTACATTTTTTGCCTCATTTCTCTCTAAGTCTTCAGATGCCACTACCCTGCAGGTGTGATGAAAGTGCTATGCAGAAGGTGACACTGTCAGGAGAGCGCTTGTGGCTCATGTAGCACAGGCTTGAGTCTGGTGATGGTTAGGGACTCTGATTTTGATTTTCCAAAAGAAGGTGCACAATTGGCCAAGTGCCACTTGGTGTTTGGGGTCTGCACTGGCCCAGGATGCCCTGGGCTTGCCACCGTGGTCGCCTTCGATCTTGTCAGGGAGTGTCACCTCACTCTACCCCTCCGTCCCCAGCCAGGACAGATGATGCATTGGCCCCTGCAGGGCTGACAGCATGCTGACAAATGGCAGATGGCCCTGACAATGACAACTGGAGGAGCACAGCCCAGCCCTTGCCCTCTTCCTCGGCCCCGGACCCCATGGTGGTCACAGACGTTTTTGAGTGGATTAATAACTGCTGATTTCAAAATGGCATGAAACAAAAGGAAATTCCCATTCCAGAAAGATGTGTGTGGGACACCTTATTACACCTGGGTGGTGCAGTGGCTCTGTGGCGAGGATCCAAGCCTGTGGCTAGAAGGTTGCCGGTTCATAACCTGCAGCTGGCAGAGGAATCCTGCTCCATTGGGCCCCTGAGCAAGGCCCTGACCCTGCGCTCTATCCTCAAGTTTCTCTCCCTGTCTGTGTGTCTCATGGAGAGCAAGTTGGGGCATGCGAAAAGACAAATTCCTAATACATTGTGATTTTATGTTATCTTTTTATATTTGCATAATATGATAAACAACACAGATCAGGACCTGCTAACACTGATATCTCGTTAACTGCAGTGCTAAGCTGGCAGCTGGCCATCCACCTTCCCTGCTTCTGAGTAGCTGCACAGTCCAGCCCATGCAGGATACCAATCCCAGCAGAAAGCCATTGCCCACAACCCTCAATGCCCCAGAAACCCTCAGCCCAGACTACAGTCAAGTGAAGCACATGGAGTGCCCTGCACAAAAGGGCTGAAAGAAAATGAACTGGACGTTTGTCACTTTCCAAATTATTTTTATACACCAGCCCAATTTACAACCTCCAACAAGCTGCACCGAGCTTTCCTGGCACCTGCTTACTTCCCACCCTGACAAACTCAATTAAAGAAGCACGTCTTTTTCTGGTAACACCACAGCTTACCACACCTAAGCTTAGAAGAGCAGGGGAGTTCCTGACCACTAACACAAGTGTAACAGCTGCAGCTGACAAATTGAGAAGCGAGGGGACTTTTTCAGATCTCGTTCTGCAGCTCCCCTCGTCCACGGCTGTTTCTTCTTCCTGCTCTTGATTTGTGTTAGTGTGGCAGTGGCATTAGTAGGCATTGTGTTGGGTTTTTTTTGTCCAAGATGTCCGAGAACAGGAAGAGGACCCAAGAGTGCCTTGAGCATCCTGTCTGCCTTGCCACATTTCAGCATGTGAAACCACAGGAAACTGGGGCCCTTCTACTACATACAGAACACTGAATAAATACAACACAAAGAGTCTGCAGATCTTCTCTTATGACACAGGCAATAGAGAGATTACTGTTGCAAGATTTTCCAGCCTGTAAAATGCCCTGCCCTGGACTGTGCCGATGCTGTTACCTGTGCTGTTTGTCAATTGCTTAATTGCACATGAGAAGTTAATTTCAGCACTCAGCACAAAATGTGTGAAAAATGTAAATGGTCCGATCGAGGTTGTTATTTTTTAAATTATAAGGACAGCACCCCAAGTTGGAGTTGGAGCACATGTGTAAGCAGGAAATGGAAGGAGACAGCTGTGTCTCTATGTTTATGAAGTACTGTTTGTCTAGCGTGACATAGCGTGTTATTTTGAATGTTATGCAGGACTCTGGAAGGAAAAATGCCAACTATACATGCTGGACATAACACAAAGAACAGGCTTTAGTAAACTTATCAATGACCCCAAAGCAATGTGATCTTTATATCATTACCAGAGCTGCAATCCCTGCCCACATCTAGATAGTCCAGTTAAGACACACATCTGCACCCTGTTGCCTGCGCTGGCACTGCTGCCCAAAGAACTGACCCTTGCAGCTGTAGTGACCTCAATGGCCTTGCAGACCTGAAGCCTCTGTGCAAAGGCCTGAAACTTGTAGAGAAGCTCTGAGTCATCACACTCTGCAGTTTGGGTTTGTGCTATTTATGTTTTGAAACTCATTAGCCTTGACTGTAGTTTCTGTATTACTATCATACTGTAATTTTGCTGCACACTCTGTTGTAATAGAGACTGGAAGTTGCCAATAAAGGTGACTGATCTTGTTAACAGAAATCAGTTTGAGTGAAAATGCACTGTGGCTGTGTTCTGTTTTACTTACATCAGTGCAAACCACTGTAATCCCACATAGAGAATCTAAATCTGGTAAGGGAAGCAGAGTGTGGTAAAGTACAGTGAAAAATATGGTACAATCGCAGTAAAGTGTATTGAAGCTCTGTGGAAATCAGGGTACAATCACACAGTAATGTGCAGTAAAGCACAGTGAAATCATCGAAATCCATAGAGATTCAAAAAGAAGCATGAGAACTTGTCAAAAGGAAAACATGTATGGTATAAATGTGAACGCCATGGTAAAACTAAATGTCACAAGTGTCACCCTGATGCTGTCCCTACGTAACAGGTATCTGAACGTGATTCATCAGAAAGGATGGTGCTGCTGTTTTAAAACTGATAAGTATGTTTTAGGCATAAGGCAACCAATAAAACTTCACAGTAGATGAGTCTGCAGAACGGCAAAGGGTTAAAACATTTCCCTAAAAGATTTATTAGTGTTGTCCTAGATTGCACTCATCATTAGTCATTTTCAAATGCAGCACCTGTATCAAATTCAACCTCTCAAGAGCAACTAACAACTATGGATGCACGTTATTCTGAACCAATCAGAGTGATCTGAAACTGCCCGCCTTTGTATCACAGGGGGCTTTCAATTGTGATTACCGATTTCTCCAGGGACGTACGCCGAGACAGGAAAATGACGAGAAACCCTTTTCAGAATTCAATATGAATTGGAAAGTGTATTCTGATAATGCTATATTTATAAACGCTGAGTCAGCAAGAGCTACAAATAACAACCTAGAAAAATCCCCAGAAAAGAATCACATGAAAAGAAGAGACACCACAGGAAGTCACAGATAGAAATAACAGGGTCATATGGGTTTCCTTTCCATGTCCTGTGCAATTATTTTGCTTGCATTTCTTTCCCTTACCTCTCCTGAAGTGCCTGTATGTGTCGTAATGATGCCACGTGTTTGTTCTTCTCTCAGTGAGGAGCACGCGGATCCCTGTGAGGGTCAAAACATTTGCCGCTGTAAACAAAAAGCAGCTCTTTATGAAACTCACTTTATTGGCCATGTACAATTTCATGCATTAGGAATTTGTCTTTTCACATTCCCCAGCTTGCTCTCCATGAGACACACAGACCGGGAGAGAAACTTGAGGATAGAGCGCAGGGTCAGGGCCTTGGTCAGGGGCCCAATGGAGCAGGATTCCTCTGCCAGCTGCAGGTTATGAACCGGCAACCTTCTAGCCACAGGCTTGGATCCTCACCTGTTCTACACTTGATCCTGTGCTGTTCTACACCGTCAGTGTTCTGTATACACTATAGCACCAGCTATGTCAAACGTATCGCTCAGTCCTAGCCCTAGTCGGCGGCAGAGTGGTGGCACTGTGGCTAAGGATCTGCGGCTGTATCTGTAAAGTTGCTGGCTCAAATCCTGTGGCCACCAGAGGACTCCTATGCTGTTGGGCCAATGAGCAAGGCCCTTAACCCCAACTGCTCCAGGGGCACTGTACAATGGCTGACCCTGTGCTCTGACCCCAAGCTTCTCTCCCTGTCTGTGTCTCATGTTTCCTTATGTTTCCATCCTTAGCTGTCCAGAGCCACTTTCCTTGTGTTACAGGACTTCATCCTGCACAATGAATCTTGTATACCAGCATTACGCCAAGGGATTTTTAAAGAACCTTTGAAACAACCGTTTCTGGGCTGTCAACAGCTGGTGTGGTGCTGACCTGGGTTCTGTGGTTCTGGCACTCAGTGGAGTGTCTGAAAACCCAGGTTCAGTGGTAACATGTACCTGTCACTGAGGTTCCCACAATGTTTCTCAACAAGCAGGGTGCCAAGACAGCGTAAAACCAGTTCATTTTAATTCACGTTGGCCTGAAACATGTAACACTCTCAGCATACTTTTCATGAGAAAAAAGAGTGGCTGCTTGCAACATTTCAAGTTCCCTTGAGTTGATCGAGAGTCCCGGGACTTGTCAGTGACAGCGATTTAAACCCTAGGTCCGTCAGGGACATAAGGCCCTCACTAATTTTGCCCCTGACAGGAGTGACAGGAGTGTAGTGTTTTGAGCTGAGGCGTAATCTGCTGTAAAATTTTAAAAAAACAGACAACACTCACGCACCTTCCTTTATCCATAAGTGAAGTGGTAAGGTTCAGCTGCTGTTGCATAGGAAGAAAAAAACAAATTAGTTACCTTTTATAAAACGAACAGCTAAACAAGATACACTGTATATGAAATGGCTTCGCTTCTGCCTTCTGCTTTGAGAGCAACCACATAGCGCTGGTGTTTTTCCATCACGGGGCAGGAAAACACCGAGAAACAGCCATGTTCGTGAAACTTTCCAGTGTCAGTGTCTCTGTTGTATGTGTGTGTGTGTGACAGTGTCTCTGGTGTATATGTGTGTGTGTGTCAGTGTCTCTGGTATATGTGTGTGTGTGTGTCAGTGT